AAAGGTATTTAATACATTGAAAGTTTTATTATAACGCATTTGCTACTTAAAAAAAGTTTATTAAAATATCCCAAAAAAAAATCTACGTAATTAAAGAAATGGACATTTTTTATTTTAAAATTTTGACTATGCTAACTTCATGGTGTCGGTTTTTTGTGACGGAGTGCGGGCGCATAATAAAAATTTACACTCATAATTTTTTCCTAACGTTGCAAAAGAAGTATAACTTCAAAAGCCATCACAACACAAATATATCGTGCTATACAATATTTCCTCTGGGTTTAAACTTACCTATTAAACGACTGTAAAAAAATTTACAATGCTAGGGTAGAAGGACTCCTTTCTCCGCAATTAAGACTCGTGGTTGGTCCGTTGTGCGTACTTTTTTACAATGCTAAAACAGCTTTATAAAGTACGTACAAATAATAAATACAGTAAATTGGCTTCGTAGCAATGTAACGCAATCCAATCAGTTTGATATTGCTACTTGAGAGTGCTCAATAATCATTGCCCATCAATTAGAGAACTAGGGCAATCTTATTATTGTTACCGATTTTGTTCTCGAACTAAAAAAATCGTCAGTAATTACGTAAAGTACACGTTTGTTTCTTCAAATTGCTCCCGAGTGGGAATGTTAATGTACGTTCGAACGTGATTAGTCAAGATCTCTGTATATGTTCATAATCAATTGTCCATAGCAAGTAGGAAATCAGCCTCTTGTGCCTTTTTGGGTCTAAGGCAAGGTGGTTTCCTAACGATGTTTTATTTATTTATTCACACTTCGTTACATTTCTACAAAAACAAATAACATTATACATAAAAATTATAAGGGACGGGCCGATTTGTCGCTAACAAGCGATTTCTTGCAGGCAACCCTAGTAAGGGAAAAAATTAAAAAGGAAATATGATAAAAAACCAAATCTTACAATTTACCATCTGCGAGCTATTCTGGCTTGCGCTTCCAAAACCGCTAGAGTTACACATATGTAATGTACAATGGAAATATTAATCTTAAATAGTTCTACAAAAAAGACCGCCACAGTGTGTATCTACATCTTATGTATTAGCCATTATAGCTAAAATAGTGAACCATAACTACAATAAAAAGTTGATAATTTCAAATGCACATTTCGTATAAATTGATTCCAAAATGAAAATTGATACTTTTATCGCTTCTAGTATTTAAAGTAGATAAAATATGTCTTTCATGCTACGTCATGGACAAATATTATTTTAATTCTGCGCAGACGGGCACCAGCTAGTACAATATAAAATTGTTTCGTGACGAATATTGATTCCTAATTTGTTGCGCATGATTTTCGGAAATCACGTCCCACCGGTGTTTATACGTAATATTGGATACATGAAATTTGTATTTTCCTTAATTGTTCGACAAGAGAGCTTGGGGTAAAATGACATTAGTATTGTTATGAATTTATTACGCACATAGAACGAATAAATTATAGCCATTACAGGGTCCTGTCGTTATAGACCCGTTACTACTAGGTCAACACACCTCCAGCGTCATGCCATCTACGCCATTGACTTGCGAACTGGTAATAAATGTAAATTTAGAATTAATTTAACATCTTTTCTGTTGACGTTCATAAGTGTACTTTTTTACCTATACGAATAAAGTTATTTTGAGTTTGAGTTATATCCTACCAAAATTATTAATTGGCTATAGCAAGTATCTTGTAAAAGTTTCATAAATAAATAGCAAATAATATTTTTCTATTAGTTTGCTCGTAACATTTTGAAAGGCGAAATATTTTTGTAATTCTTTCAGATACTGCAAAAATGAAATTAGCTGAAATTGATTAAAAATGAATAATAGAGAATAACTCAATAATTAGCGTTATAAAGCACTTTAATGCTAAACATTATCTTTTAAAAAATTAAAAACTTCTTTGAAAACAATATAGTTTTAGAATCTAATTAATTTAAACTAAAAACAATATGCTTGCAAAATACCAATTCGCAATAAAATTTTCGTAATTAAGTTCTTTTGACACGGCGAGTATCACTCACATTTAAAATAGTTAGTAATTCATTAATTATTGCTTATAAGTTATAATTAACACAATACTTCCATTATTTTGAAGATAAGTCCCAGGATTTGTCAGCCAAGTTGTGATCATGCTTCCTTTCCCGTAACTTTTTATTTTATAATAAAAATATAATTTTAAAAAATTAGCATAGTTATACATTTTATCTGATATACTCGTATATTAATTCCAAGTGACGAACCACCAGTTTATTGTTTGGACGATACTAAAGATATATGTTCTTGATAAGGAAGTTCCAAATTTTATATCACTTACATTCGAAGAATACTAATTGTATGTATATATTTGATATGATGAAATATAATTTGGCAAGAGTCTTTAGCGGAGAAGTATTTTCCTGCTCAATGTAAGCGAACTGCGAAAAATGTTGTCTAGTTCTCACCGAGCTGTATTAGGGATGGAAAAAAAGTTTAAAGTCAAAGTCAAATCATTTATTTCAATAAGACCATCTAAAATGGCACTTTTGAACGTCAAAAAAAGTTTCGTTGTGTTCGACATAAAAGTATTAACTACATAAGTTCTCACGCATATTTCAGTAAATTCTATATTATAATTATTTTTATTATGTATATAAACACACTAGTAGCTTCATAAGCTGATGCGCGCGTATTTGGGGATTTGAAGAAACTATGCAATCTAAATAGATTTTATAAATATAAAAGAGTTCAAAGAGCACTAATTACACTTTCCGGAAGCCTATTCCAGTCGGCCATTACTCGGTTCGGGAGAAAGTTCTTTAGGGAATTTGTGTTATTGAGTGGTCTACAGTTTTAAAGAACTACCCCAAAAATATGTATTTTCACTTAAAATAAAGAGCTTCTCAATCCCTGGAACATAATAGTGGCCAGTGAGGATTTTATAGGTTTCAATGAGATTTCCTCTTTTCTCCTACATCCTAAATCTGTAAGGTGCTTTCAAAAGCTCATTATAAGACTTGACCATTTTCGTGGCTTTTCTTTGAACCCTTTCAACCATACTAATATCCTTTATGAAATAAGGATCCCAAATACTGTAGGTATGCTCTTAAATGATATATATAATATATTATTTTATTTAAAAGTGCGGATAGTTCGTGGGGACCAGGAGAGGTGTACAAAATATAAACACCTATCTTTACAGGACAGACGCACTCTTCTGGACCAATGCTTACTATAGAACCTCTTTTCTCTTATCTCAAGTAAAATGTTCTGTTCCTAGACGGAACTACTCGTTTCTCGGTTAATACAAATAAAAATAACTATTCTCGTAACGGACACATAAATAGAATTTGTGCCTAGTATAATGATTTATCCTTCAACAAAAATAATATACAAAGTAAATAGTCTCACACACACACATACGTACTCGCAGACATACTTATATTTATTAGTATTATATTTTACTAGGGTAGGCGTCCATGGTAATTATTTGTTAATATATATTATACATTTGGTTTTGTAATTTTTATAAAAGCTGTTTGCTGGCTTAATAAAATAGTATATTTTATCAATTAATATTTTATCCAAGCAAAGTACGACGTTATCGCAGATCTACATCTATACGACTTTAGAAACTATATTTTGTAGCGTAAGTATCACTTAGTTTATCTTAAGCACATATCTATTGTTAAACAATATGACATTTATATATTATAAGTAAAAATTACTTACGCCTTAATCTGCCGAATGACTGGGACATCTGAATCTCCATTCATAACTATAACCGGAACCGAATTATCTTGAGAAACTCCTGGTACAACATTTTCCGTCATCTTACACAAACTCCTTGGATTGACCTCTTTAAGATAAAAAACTTCTTTGAAATATCAAAACACTTAAAAACTTTTTGCACAAATTTAAACTTAGAACATTTTCTGGCTACGTGGCTCCAGTCAAGAATCTATTAGCAAGTGTATCGCCCTCGTACAATTTATCAGATATACAATGAAGTAATCAACATTTATCAATTATAAAATGCCATTTAATTTACGTATTGTTTTAGATTAAACTCAAATTGTTATAATTGATTGTAAATACTTAGATAAATGTAAGTTTAAGTGGTTATCGTAACACATTACAGAAATGTGGCAAGATTAAATTTTACTTTTAGATAGTGAAATTTGTCATAATTTAAATTTGAATTACAGTTAATAAAATTGACATAGACCTTAATGTATTAACAGCTCAAATATAAGTATTTCCTCCAACTTAAATTTTCTTTACTTTGGAGTATAGACTCTTGGGCCGTGAGTACAAGTGCACAGGCGCTAATTAAAGATTTGAGTTGGCGCCTGATAGATAGTACCGGTGATCCCAGAGCTGGTGCTTTCCTCGCTCAACGAATAAGTATCAACACAGCGAGGAAATGCTGCCAGCGTTAAAGGTACACTGCCACAAGGACCAAACGTTTTAATTTTCTTTTTATTAATTTTTAATTATTACTGTGTACGTTAAGAAAATTGTAAATACTTTATATTTGATTTTTATGATTACTAAACATTTTCTTAATATCTTACTTTATTCATGTAAATTGTTTTTTAAGAAAAGGTATTATATACTATCTAAGTGACAATAAACCTATAGCAGCTAGTATGCTTGTGGTATATCTTGAACTGTCTTGAATTGACTGACTTAATATCCTATTACCCCTAGATGGGGCAGAGGGCGTCTATTAAAATGATCATAAATAGTGCCCTTTTCATAGCCTACTCGTATTTGTTTTTTTTTGCAATTCTTGCTTTTCCCTTATTTTATTCTTACAGTGGTTGCCTAGAGGATATCTCTATAGGATAGATGGGGTTAGGTCGGCCGTTCCTATTTATATATTTCCAAATTATTTCATGATGTTATCAATGATGAATAAATAAATAAATATTCTTGTCAAAATAGAAAAAAGAAAGCATATATGTTAAAATATAATTTATTCTAGAACATTAATATATGAAACACTGGATTATTGAGCGTCTTTTTGCGTGGAATCATCCACTTTGACAAGTTGGTCTTCTCTGCCAAGAAGATAGCTGGTTTGAGTTGTACTCTGGCTGAAGGTCGACAACGGTTGATATGAACTTGGCTGGCTTGGTCTGCCATAGCGATTGTCAGCCACCTGGTTGTACTGCGTGTCCAGCTTCGTAACTCCACTGAAAAATATATATAGAACTTTACCATAGTTTCTTCAAATTTTTGTAGTATTTAGGTATATGTTTGACTATTTCTAAAGGCATAGCCGCATCAAATTTCCATACATTTGTTTAATACGAGTATATAGAGCAGTGTTGGCCTAGTCACTAGTGTCTTCAGCGTGCGACTCTTATCCCTGAGGTCGTAGGTTCGATCCCCGGCTGTGCACCAATGGACTTTCTTTCTATGTGCGCATTTAACATTCGCTCGAACGGTGAAGGAAACCGACATGTCTTAGACCCAAAAAGTCGACAGCCTGTGTCAGGCACTGAAGGTTGATCACCTACTTGCCTATTAGATTGAAAAATGATCAGATTCAGAAATCTGAGGCCCAGACCTAAAGAGGTTGTAGCGCCACTGATTTTTTTGTTTGTTTAATATACACAAATCGTAATAAACAACGCTTTAATCCGTATGTTTTAATGCTACTTTTTCAATAATCTATTCTCTCGTTATGTTTGAATGTTTGGTTAAAACCAGCGTACATCCCGTGTATCGTCAGTGCTCCGTTTGAATCTCAAAATGAAAGGCTAAGTGCCTGTATAAATATTTAAAATTGTAGTCTATTATGTAGATTGTGTGGAACCAGCTGCCACTGAAGTAATTCCGAACCAATTCGACTTAGGGTCCTTCAAGAAAAGAGCGTACCGATTCTTAAAAGGCCGGCAGATGCGAACCTTCTGGGAATGTAAGTGTCCATGGGCGGCGGTGTGAGAGTTCGAAAAGTGAGTTACAGAATCGCAAGGCTGTTACTGTAAAAAAATCGCTGTCTATGGCTATCAGAAGTTTCAGGGTACAGACCCAGCCAGGTAGGACGGCAGACTTACAGCTGCAGAATCGTCCGATAAGAATCCGTGACTTCATGATGAGTAGCATACCTATGCTTACGATTATAGAGACAGTTATCAATAAATATTATAAAGTTCAAGTAACAGAAAATAAAAGTTAAAGTTTTGGAATTCGTCCAAAAATTGTTTTCAGTAATATGAAGTCCGATAGCTGATTTCTGGACTACCTTTCATCTCTATACGGCCGTCTTTCGGTTCCTGTTTGTCCATATACAGTCTGGGCCCCACTGGAACCATATCTTCTATCTCCAGGGTAAAATGCGTTCTGGCTTTGATAGTTATCATAAGCTGGACTTCTGTATGCAAAACCCAAATTGCTGGAAAATGATAATTGGTGAATGATATTTGTGAATGAGGTATGAAGTGCAAACCGTAATAATATATAAAAGCATGTGTGGAAATAGTTTATATTGGAATTGTGTTTTATTACGAGACGAAATTCGACTTCGGGCCCGTGCCTACGAATATTAAAAGAAGTGACTACGCCAGTCCTCTCCCGAGTTATATCAATAAAACATGTGAATAAAATAAGCTACCGCACCACAAGCGACAGTGATTTTAAGAAAAAAAACATACCTTTCATCTCTATACGGCCGCCTGGTTTCACCAACATTTCGCCAGCCACTGGACTGGCCGTAACCTACGTCCTGGTAGCCCCCATAGCCAGAACCGTAGCTGGCTGCACTGGTACCGCGGTATGGATCTTTGTAATTATACCCTGAGGCATAGTCATTGGAGTAACTCGGGTTACTTTGGTAACCGCTCTGCCAACCGCCAGAGGATTGTGGTCTGAAAGTAAATTTATATCATTTGTTTGCATCATGACCATGCATAAGTTTGTCAGTTTCTTTACATCCTAGAATTATACGTACATGCCAATAAAAATCTAGTCCAGAGAGTTAAATAGTTAAAAAAGGTATTAATGGCAAACAAAATGTCGATTGCTTTGTCCTTTCAATTGTTCTTGTCTATTGGCATTACAAGCAAACACATATTTCGGCCCAAATATAAGTCTTCCCTCCAACTTTGATTTAGTAAACACTCTTGGGCCGTGGGGTTCAAGTGCACAGGCGCTTGTTAAAGATTTAAGTTGGCGCCTGATAAATAGTACCGGTGACCCCAGAGCTGGTGCTTTCCTCGTTCAACGAATAAGTATCGCAATACAGCGAGGAAATGCTGCCAGCGTTAAAGGTACACTGCCACAGCGACCAAATTTTTTAAATTAGTTTTAATTTTATTTTTAATCATTTTTAATTTCTTTTATTATTACTATGTAGGTTAAGAATGTATATTTGATTGTTATGATTACTAACAAATTACTAACAAACTATGATTGTTATCTACATTTTATCTTATGGCCTTCCGCGGCACATAGAAATACAATTTTAAAAAATATGTATTTATCCAGAAAATGGAACGATTAGATTTGAAATAACATATAAAGCTTATATTTATTTAAATGTATTTCCCAACATAAAAAAAATATACCTAGCATAATCCCGCTGACTCCAAGCAGAGGAATCAGGTCTACCAGATGCAAAGTAATACCCACGGCCACCTGCATCCCAACCCGACTGACCTCGGTACGTCTCATCCCATGGTCTGAAACTTCAAAAATCAAAACATATTTCACAAAATTCATGGCATATTTATATAGTGGGTAATAAAAGAGAATTTAGAATGTGCGATTGAAAACATCTATAAAAGGACAGCAAAGATTAGAGACAAGTACTAGATCGTATTTAGATCCTATGAAACCTCTTTCTATCCAAGAAATATTTCGGCCAGCCTTAGGCATCTAATAAAAAAAAAGAATGAGTGGCGCTAGAACTTTTTAAATGTTTAATCAGATTTCTGTCCGTTTCATGATCAATTGTCCATCTGACACACGGCGTCGACTTTTTGAGTCTCAGGGCAAGCCGGCTTTGTGGCGATGTTTTCCTTCGCCGTTCTAGCGAATTTGAACATAGAAAGAAAGTTTATTGATGCCGAGCCGGGGATCGTACCTACGACCTCGGGGATGAGAGTCGCACGCCTTAAGCATCTAAGGTACTTTATGTGAAGAGCTCAAATACCTATATTGCTAAATTTGAGTCGGTACAAAAATTCATTCCCTTAGAGACATTATGTACAATTTAAACTAATATAACAACAAATTATGCGTTGTAACGGGTGGCCTATAAAAAAAGCAATCACTTCCAGGTTAAAAAATTATAAAAACCATAATATTATAATGTACGGAGTATTTGTTTATTAGCTTTGACTTTCGTTACATACAAAAAATATATTACCATAATAACAGTGGAAACTGTAGTTAGTAGATAAAAAGCTAATTAACTTTAACCATGACTCACAGGGTCAACAATCTTAAATCATTTGTCATAAGTGTTTAAAGTTTTAGTTTGAAATATAATCAACGAATCATACGACAAAATTAAAAATAAATTTAAAAAGTTTGGTTCCTGTAGCAGGGTTTAACCTTTAACGTTAACTTTAATTTTCTCGCTGTATTTACAGTAGCGATATTGTATATGTATATGTATGTAATATTATATTTTTATCGACATTATCGTATTATATCGTACTGTAAGGATAATGCATGTATTTCTGTAAATAAATAAATTTGTATCGCTCGCGCGCTATAACCCGTACCTCGCTATTAATTAAAATGCAATAGAGTTTTGATTTCTGACCATCATTATTTATTATTACCGACCTTATTAACAAATAAACAGGCTGTACCACACGGATAACCTGTGTATTATTATTTTGTTGTTTGTGGCAATCACAAAATATTTCTAACAAATTTGCTTCTGTTGATATTAAAATCTGACGTTACTAGAGCATGCTCTATGGTCTACGATAATAATATTAAATACTTTTTTGAATACAGTTTTAATCATCCGCACATCCTAACTGTATTGACATTCGATACAATTTCATGAAAGCGTGAATTAAATTCTAAACTATTGTGAAATAATTGCAACGTAACGGTTACTCTATATATTTGTATAGAGATATTGTGTGACATTTCAAATTTGTATTATTTAGTACAATTGACTTTCGATAAATGAAACTCCCAAATCAGAGAAAAATTTCAAATCACCAAGAGTTTATAACCACGAGAGGGAGGTACTCAAGTAAATAAGAGTTTGATCAAAATACGTGATTTATTATTTTTATATCATTATGAACACATATTTTTTTATTTCTAAGAGAAGAACGTAATCTTATTTTGTGTAGGCGACTTCGGTCTATCATTTCCATGATATCATCAAATATTAACTTGATTCATTAACGTTTTGTTAGGATTGTCAAAAAGAAAAATGAGTTTACAATTGAACTTTTAATTCATAATTTGTATTTAAAAAATATTATAAAAACGCCAACATGTACCAAGGATGATGCCTGACTTCATATTATTAAAGTCTCACCTAATGGTGGGAAATGCTGACTAAACCGAAGGTATAAGAGTGTCAGCCAGATACAAGGGATACAAAATCTTTTTTGTGTTGTGTAACTGTTAAAAATTTGTTATTGCTGTATTTTTATCAAATAAACATCTGTTTCTTCTCTGCTGTTGCACTTTATTTACTATTGTAACATACAATTAATTAATATTATACTTTCTCATGTAAGTGAATGTTGTAATATTCTTAATGATAAATAAATATCTTAGACCGTAAGGTATAAGCAGACTCTTTGTGTATAAGAAGTTAATTTTATTTAAATCATAATAATATAACCATTGGTTTCTACTAATTATAGTATCTTAGCCCGTGAGGGGTGAACTCACCTGTCATGCGGCCCAGCTCCTACACCTGGCCCGTAGCCACCGTAGCCATCGTCATATCTGTCGTATCTGTCATCATAATATGCAGGTCGCCTATTTCCATCGTATCTACCATAGCCGTCGTCATAGGAGTAGGCATTTCTGTCATACAACGGTCGACGTGGGTATGGCTCGTCGTATCTGTAAGTTTATTAAATGTTGACTGGTCTGCTACACAAATTTGTATAGAATATCTAGAGTTGACACTTCTAACATTGTTGAACTATCTTAAAAATCGCCGTTGAACTTTAATAAATTGTTATTGCAAAATTTTTATATTTATTTAGCTTAAGGAAAACTTATTAGACATAGACATTTCGATTTGGATTTTTATTATTTTTAGTCATACGTTATTTTTATTTTAATCCTACTTTTTTATTTGTTTATTAAAGTTCACCACATCATATATAATGGCAACTTGTAACTCACAAGCTACATTCTAAAAAAACATGACTATTATAAACTGTGGAATCGATTCCCTGAGAGATACGACCTCCAACTATTCAAAGTTAGTCTCCTCCTCCCTTAAAGGCCGGCAACGCACCCACTAAAAATGGTTGTCCATGGGCTGCGATGACTGCCCTTATTAGGCGTTTGCCCCTCTATTATATAGGTATATAAAAAAACATAAATGTTACAAAAAAATTGAAAAAAAAAATTCTTATTGTTAAGCAAAGTAGCGGATTAGGTATCAGATAGGCACTTAACAATTTTTTTTTAAACTGATCAGCCCACTACTGAATATGTCAAGCTCTGGATAAGTAGTGTTTATTCTGTTATATTCGCGAATTCGAACGGAAGGCGCCTGAACGCCTAGGTTGGTTTTTGCAGACGGAATTTGGAAATTTCTGCTGTCTAAATCTTTTAGACCATGGGAATTAACACGTTCACTGCGGCAAGTAAAATCATAATTCTTCATCAGGTCGGCCGGGCCAAAATGCGCCCCAATATTTCGCATCAGCATCTTTCTAGACCCAACAGCACTAGGATAGATTAACTCTCAGTGGATGCACAGCAGCTCAGTGCGTGGTAGGTCGATAAAAGCCTGCCGTTATTTTTGATGGAACACCTACAATTTTGACCGAAGATAAATATATATTTGTCCCTGTCGAATTTTTACAAACACCTGAGATAATCGTTACGCACCAGCGAGAGGGACATAGATTTCTTCGTCCGCACCAGCTGAAATACCGCGGCAGGCCGATATCGGCCTGTTACGCAGTGAACGTTTAATAAGGGAAGACACAGATAATTTGTATAAGAACTACTAAAATACAAGGCATAATACTGTTTGACTACTTGAAAAAGTTAAGTCTTGAAGACCTATTTTGATACATTTAGTATTCGTAATCAAAGATTTTTGTTGTAATAAATGCATACATTACGTTTGCGTCAAGATTTATACAGAAGAACTTGAAAAGATTGTTGATCAGGTACTTACCGATCATATCTGTCCCTATTCCTATCTCTCAAAAACCTGTCATAATAATCCGGTCCATATCTATCTCTATCATCATATCGGTTCCTGTGTCTGTTCCTCGGCCTATCCCTATGTCTATCTTTATCATCATGACTCTTATCATCACTCTGATCATCTGTTTCGTTTTTACTACTTCTTCTATCTGTATTATATCGTTTATCGTCATTATCATCTTCGTCCCTGTTTCTGTCGTGTCGGCTGCCGTATATAGGCTTCTTGGAGCGTCTGTCATCTCTATCATCATCGCTGTCATCATCATCATCACATCGCCCACAGCGTCTATCATCCAGTCGATCGTAGGGCCGGCCGTAGCCGTAACGTTCGTAATAACTTCTTGTTATTCTGGCGTTGTCTTTGGACGGAAGAAGTATAGATGATAGTTTAGATTCATTGTCACCTTCAGATTCTACTAAAGATGTTACTGTGACAATGAGTAGTACCTGAAAAGATATGGGTTAAAATGTTTAGTATGATAACGGCGCTCTGACATCCGGAGCACTCACAAGTAATCAATTAATATGCAATTTATTTATTTGATTTTCTATTTTTACAGTAACTTAATACTATTACAATAGACAACTTATTTATATAAAAATTTAACTTAGAACGTTAAACAAAACAAGAAAACATACAATCTAAACCCTTTTATAACTAATAATAAATAATGCAATTCTTGTGAATTCAGCCAGTGTGCAACTAAATATATCCGCCTCACATGCAATAATAATCAGTATGCGCGAGACACGTAAAAAGTGCGTTAAAGTCGTTGTAGAAATAATTCTCATCTCACGGATTCTGATATCTGCAGCGTTTCATTACAAGCATATGCGCCCTATGTCTATTTATGAGTATTATATTATTATTTATTTATTAACACTTCGTTGCAAGTATACAGAAATACAGTACAATTAAAATAATGAAATAAAATGGAGAGCAACTGGCGGCCTTATCGCTTTCGAGCGATCTCTTCCAGGCAATTATTTATAAAAAACTAATGGAACAAAGCAAAGCCTTAAAACATGTGAACAGTGAAAGGGACATTAATAATTTAATTATAAATAGCAAAATGAGGATAAAATTGCTTATTTCTTCCAGGAATGATAGTTATAATGTTCCCATTCAACATAAGCATTACACACTTAAAACGTACCATATTCTTTAAAAGAAAAAAAAATGGTATCTCTCATTCATTTTTACTTCTCACTTTTTTGATTATTGTTATTTTGTGTGTGTGTTTTGTTAGTAATTAATGTTATGTCTATGTCTCTGTCTTGGATGGTCTGTAATGGAAGATTGCAAAGACTAACAAAAATTTGGCAAGACATAGTATACAATATAAATTATGCAATATTTGCCCCTTTTAATACAACATTGCCCCATAATGACACTGACCTACATCGATAAAAATTATAGCACATTATATCTATAAAGATTTTGATCTACATTGATTGTAGTTCATTAAATGTGGGTAAAAAACAATGGCCATTACGCCAAGGATTCTATTTGGTCCATGTCAGCCATTTTGTGCCCTACGTGACGTCACACTATTGTCTATGGAGGTCGCGGCGTGGGCGCAAATTAAACTTAACAATTTATTTCAACATTTTTTATACCTACTAATTATACATTTAAAATAACAATAATACATTATTATTTTTATACAAAATTCTATAATATTTGAAAACATTAATTTTAATTGTATAATTATGTTATATATAGATACTTATATTGGTTTTATTGTCTAACATCTATGCTCTATGCATATCGCAGGTCTAGCGTGAAAACTACTTGAAAATATGCGAGAATACAGACATTATTAGACACATATAAATCTGGAGACAAATGTACAGTGTTACAATATTCTTAATCTACGTATTAATATAAATAATAATAATAAAAAATGGATAAACATAATGATAATTTTTTTTTTCTTAGAAAAAAAACCTTAGTTGCAATTTTAGCCTTTACAATGGACAACTTAAAAGATCAGATTAGTTCTGTTTATTAACGCGAGGTTGCGTTTTTATGTCAATTATCATCATCTTTAAGATCTTGATTCATCTTCCGCATAATTATAACTGCTATTATGTTACCTACTGAAAAACGGAATAACGGATTCTGAATAATATTGTCTTTGTTTTTGTACGTAAAAATATTTTTTGAGATGTTTTTAATAATTAATATGAGCAAGTAAATAAAAGGTCTTATTTAAATTATATTGCTGAGTTCTGGTTGATGTGATTGTTTTTGTTTTATTAATTAAGCTAAGTATAACAAATAAGAGCAGTGTTGGCTTAGTGGCTTCAGCGTGCGACTCTCATACCAGAGGTCGTAGGTTCGATCCCCGGCTGTGCACCAATGGACTTTCTTTCTATGTGCGCATTTAAAATTTGCTCGAACGGTGAAGGAAAACATCGTGAGGAAACCGACATGTCTTAGACCCAAAAAGTCGACACCGTGTGTCAGGTACTGGAGGCTGATCACCTACTTGCCTATTAGATTTAAAAGTGATAATGAAACAGATTCAGAAATCTGAGACCAAGACCTAAAGAGGTTGTAGCGCCACAGATTTTTTTTTTTATATAACAAATAAGAATAGGGAGGACGTATACATTTATGTTTTTTTTTTGAACCAACTGAATCTACGAGCTTACAGCTCATATAATATTACGAAGTCAATTATAATATCAGTTACACAATTAAATAATAATTTATTCAAAACTCACCTGAATTATCAAACGTATCATCTTGCTCAGCCTATGCAGCACATACCAAACAATGCACTCTTATAAAACCTGTTTTCTATAAATAAACTATGCGAACCTTAACATCCTATAATCTGTAACTGGTAATATAGACTATTTAGTCTGTGAAAAGCCATAAACTTTTTAAATTTAGAACCGTTCTGCGCGGTTCTGTTTGACCGACTGTCCGATGGCTCTTGCGTCCGGCGCTTATAATAATTATGGCAATTGTTTTTTTGTCTGTCCATCCGTCCTGAGGGGCACATAGCTGAACATTCCGAAGGTTACACATGGTAATGACTGTGCGTAGATGTGGAGATAATGACAGTACGCAATGAGAGGAATCTACTTAAAAGTAACTTGATAATCATCTCTTGAAGAACATTTGATTTGTCTATGATTGCTAGTATTATTTTCTACTTTCCGTTTCACCTCGATGAAAAATTACTTAAATATTCTACTGTAGGTAACAAAATATTTATTAAGACTTTATAGATTGTTAGAGGTTTCTTCATAAATACTACGTGTAAGATTAACTTAGGTTATGAATAGACCAGTGGTGTCTATGTAAATTTTTGTATTAGATTTGATCTACCAAATAATACAAAAAACAAATGCAATAAATATTATATAGGAAGAGGAAGTTCTATTGTTTAGTGTGTATCTGTTTCCATAGTATCGAATTTTCACTAAGTTTTAATCAAAGGAATTATGAAGTTTATAGTTAAGGCACTATTTAATGAATAATTGAATGAATTTTGCTGTAAAAGATGTGTTTTCTTTAATTGTACAACCCTGGGTTTTGCAGGCATGTTACTAAATACGTTTGTTTTTCTACGTAAAAAACACGGGAAACGAATCCATCACTACCAGCCTCGGCGATTTAATTAACCAATTGATTTAACCAACTTATTCATTTTCGTAAATAAATACAATGCTGTATTTTTTGGTAATTTTTTTTTAATAAATTGCATTATTGATAAGAAGCGATCTTTTGAAGACAACTTAAGTCAGAAATTTACGACAGTTAATTGCAAACAATACATTTAATAAACATTATTAGACATGGTGAATTTTTTTTTTATAGAACAGGGGCTAAACGGGCAGAAGGCTCATCTGATGTTAAGTGATAACGCCATGGACACTCTCAATGCGAGAGAGCTCGCGATTGCGTTGCCGGCATTTGAAAATTCCATTTGACAATAAAGGCAAAGAAAAAAAACCAGTTGAGTATTCGCTGTTCTCAGATTAGGGGCGAGTTTCAGACTTAGCACTAAGTGTGACTCATGCATATCAAACGTATGGAATTTTGAGATACGGAAGTCACAGAGAAGTTTTTAAGAGAAAGTTTTCGTCCACGCTCTCAGTAGTTTTAAATGATTGTAATTATTTATCTCAACTAGTATATTATGGAAACAGATATTAACAGCTAATACTTGAACCAAAAAATGTACGCGGCGAACCATAGCTGACACGTCATTTGCATTGTGAATAAACGAGACTGGATATGCTATCATCAATATTGTCATGTACGGTTTTTTAATTGGAGGACCAAACTTAAAATAGACCGCATCCACAGCGGTTGCGTTGGTAGCCTTTTAAGAAGAGATTCTCTGGAATCTCGCTCGGATTCCATAACTCACTAGTATTATATAAATGTAATCTGTCTCTGTAAGTCGGTCCATTCTGTGCGCCTATATTCCAGTCCTGGATACTATTTTTCGACAGAGAGATCCTAAAAGCCTACTTGCCGTAACGTTCTCAATACAGATGTTTATGTGTTTTACAACAAAATATTCCTTCACCGCTAGAGATACGAACATATAAAAACATACATATACGATAAAAACAGACGCAAAAATGTGTATATCCCGTAAGTTCTAAGTAAGTAGAGCGTGCGACTCTTATCACTGAGGTAGTAGGTTCGAGCCTCGACTGTGCCCCAATGGCCTTATTTTTATCCTTCTATTTATTTTGTATCGTATAGAGAAGTCTAAGAAGGCAGTGCTTTTAAGATCTCTCTATCGAAAAATAGAATCACGGACTGATACTAATAGAAACTTATTACGACAAATTGTGTAGCTTAAAGCCCTAAACATGAAGACCGGCAGGCAAAGCATAAATATTTGCAAAAAGGTAATTTAATGATGCCTAATGAATAGGCTACGCCGGATAACTGTGTCCGCCCACTGTACAAATTACCAATATTTGTGCCACTGTCAGCGACCTCTTGTGGTCATTCACTTGAATTATTGTTGAACCATGACCGTGCTTTACAGCATAACAGTATTAATAGTTAGCAAAACCCTTAAGAGATTTAGCACTTAGAAGCCGAGGTCCGATTGACCTTAATATTGTATGGATATAATATTGTCTGTGGTTTGGGTACGCAAGTGCCCCATAGACAATATATAAACCTAAAAAATAACTCTTTTAAAATAAAATTGGGGTGTGATTGAAGATATGTATAATGTTCAAAAATTAAAAAAAATAAAATGCGCTTGGACACCCTTATTACGGAGCGTTGGCCTAGTTGCTTCAGTGTGCAATTCTTATCCCTGTGGTCGTAGGGTCGATCCCGGCTGTGCTTTCTGTTTTTGTGCAAATGTAACTCTTGCTCGTACAATGGAGGAAAACATCGAGAGAAAACCGGCATGTATCACATCCAAAAACTTAAAATTGTCTATGAAATATAATATAGATAACTAGCGGACCCCACAGACGTGTGTTCTGCGTGATATTTTAAGTGATTAGGATATTAAACAAAGTATCAAAGTACCGACAGCAGCGCCATCTGCTGGGCTGATTTGTGAATCTAAACCATTCAGGGCTCCACCCAAACGCATACCTACAAAAAAATCATTCAGCATACAATCAAATCGGTCAAGCCGTTTAAGAGGAGTTCAGTGACATACACACGTACAGTATAATTATAAACATATGTCAGCTATACTATCTTTTAGGTTAGATCAAACGGCACACAGTGTGCAAATTTGATTGAAATCGGTCGAGTAGTTTAGAAGTCCATAGCGGACAAACAACAATCTGAGGCCGAGACCCATGTAGGGTTTTAGTTTTATTATTCTTCTCTTCAGTCGCACCCTTCGTTTCTGAAGGTCGTGTTAATGGCCCCGCATTACTTCCTCCACTCTTTCCTGTCTTCGACAAGCCTCTGCGCCTGTGTAAGGGCCTTTACTTGATCGGTCCAGCGGCCTCGAGGTCTGGTGCCTTCCATTCTGCCAGTCACGACAAGTTTTTCTAAACTTCATGTATAAATACTCAGAATGCGGCGGTAACAAAGTGTAACCTCATCTTAGTATGGACACGTTTGTTTCCTTCTGCTGTTTGCTGTCCAGGGAATCTTCAGCAACCGCCTCCAACACCACATTTCCAGAGAAGTTTAGTAACAAACAATGTGCACGAGACATAAACTTAAAATATATAGATATTTTCCCCTAGCTTTATACATAGTGACCGCTAATGAAAATAATTATAAAGTTCAATGAACTCACACCCTTTTATACGCTATTCAGCTACTTCCTATAAAATACTTTTAATTCAACCCCAACCTTATTAATTAATACACGCAAATTATAAGGCAATATGCATCGCGTACTTCTTGGACCCATTTTAATATTGCAATTATATAGAGTTTTGGTACCGGTGTATCAGTATAAAAACTGCGACAATGCGTCAGCAATCCTTGACGACGCATTTTTATTGAAATGGAATAATTATTTTGGAATTGGAAGAGTTATTTCAAAAATATAAAAATACTTACATACTAAAATACTTGCCAGGGTTAACTATAAACTTTTTAAATTCGTTTCATTTTCTATTTATAAATTTTTGAAGTTATACTTCTTTAGGCGCGTTATGAAAAATTTATGAGAGTGAAATTTTACAATGCGCGCGCACCTGTGACACAAAATTAGGAGTGTGATTATAGCGTGCGCGAGCGAGATAGGAATAAGACAATCTACAAGAAAAAAGAAATAGAATATGCGTGAAGTTCGTATGCCAAGAATTTTGAATGACCATAATGACATTTGTCATTTACCTTTTAAACAAATAAAGGAGTTTTAATTATTTTTTCAAAGAAATTTAGCAATGCTTTTTGAATTATATATAATCAGAAGTGATTTAAATTGAATATTTAAACCAATACTAATTAATATTTGTGAAAAAACTGTGCTCATCAACCTTCCTAAGTGCTTCATTACAATTGAGGTTAACTATCAGTTTGTATTATTATTATCGAGTAATGTTTTGATTAAAAAAATTACCACATTGTTTAATCAAAACATGTAATTTTTCTCTAGCAAATATAAGGACAAGAGACAAAAAACAATTGATGAATCAGTGTAAGTGCACTAAATTGAATACAAAAAAGAGTTGTCATCTTATCGCTGTGAAACATCAAAAACTGGAGGTGGAACAAAGCCAAACTATTTTTAATAATGCCAAAGAAGTATAACTTCTTACGCGCGTACATAAGTACACGCACCCTTTTTTTTATTTTTTAGTAATCGTAACAATCAAGTATTTACAATTTTCATAACCTACAAAATAATTATAAAATTTATAAAAAGATCCCTGTGGCATTGTACCTTTTCCTATTTATTAATTTTAAAAAATTCCATCCGTATCACCTTGACGTCCGTCGTTCCACAACTGAGCGTTTCTTAAAGCAATTTCTGCCGCTCACCACCACTATGTGCAACCAGCTGCCCACTGAAGTTTTTCCGAACAAATTCGACTTAAGGTCCTTCGAGAAAAGAGCGTACCAATTCTTGCCTTTGGGGAGCCTTTCTGCCCGCTCCTGTAACATAAAAAAAATATATTATTATTATGACTATGTAGGTTAAGAAAATTGTAAAATCTGTATAATTGATTTTGTTAATTTAATATAATATTTTTAATTTATTGACTTTTTGACCTGAGCCTGTTAATTACATAGCTGGTATTAGGTATAGTGCACAGGTGTCGGCGAAGACACCTAATGACCAAACAAGCAGAGTATAAAAAGAGCATGTATGCAGCTCATTTTTTTTTTTTTTTTTTTTTTATTCTAAATCATTCTTTTAAATTTTTTTTTTTTTTTTTTTTTTTTTTTTTTTTTATTTTCCCCCCCCCACAACCCCCCCCCCCCTCCTTTTTATTTTTTTTTTTTTTTTGTTCTGGTGCCGGGTCTTTTTTTCTTTTTTCCCCCCCCTCACCACTTTTTCCCCCCCCCCCCCCCTTCTCTCCCCCTTCCTCCCCCCCCCCCTCCCCCCCCCCCCCCCCCCCCCCCCCCCCCCCCCCCCCTCTCCCCCCCCTCCTCCCCTTCCTTCCTTTTTTTCTCTCCTCCCCCCCCCCCCCCCCCCCCCCCCCCCCCCCCCCCCCCCCCCATTTTTTTCCTTTTTTTTTTTTTTTTTCTTCCCTTCGCTTCCTTTTTTTCCCCCCCCCCCCCCCCCCTCCCCCCCCTTTCCTCCCCCCCCCCCCCCCCCCCCCCCCCCCCCCCCCCTTTTTTCCCCCCCCCCCCCCCCCCCCCCCCCCCCCCCCCCCCCCCCCCCCCCCCCCCCCCCTCCCCCTTTTTTTTTTTTCCTCCCCCCCCCCCCCCCCCCCCCCCCCCCCCCCCCCCCCCCCCCCCCCCCCCTCCTCCCCCCCCCCCCCCCCCCCCCCCCCCCCCCCCCCCCCCCCCCCCCCCCCCCCCCCCCCCCCCCCCCCCCCCCCCCCCCCCCCCCCCCCCCCCCCCCCCCCCCCCCCCCCCCCCCCCCCCCCCCCCCCCCCCCCCCCCCCCCCCCCCCCCCCCCCCCCCCCCCCCCCCCCCCCCCCCCCCCCCCCCCCCCCCCCCCCCCCCCCCCCCCCCCCCCCCCCCCCCCCCCCCCCCCCCCCCCCCCCCCCCCCCCCCCCCCCCCCCCCCCCCCCCCCCCCCCCCCGCAAAATTCCTAACTACTATTCGGCCCGGGACTTGAACCTTGATCGTACACCGATGAACGTGACCACATATCTACCGAGCATATACCACTTGAATAAATAATAACTATTGCGCATAAAGAAATCAATTTGTCTTTATTTATAAAAGGCAGTTCAGAACTTTCTTTGTAGTGTGAAAGACAAGCGATTTTTCATTTATTATTCAAGACCACAATAGACAATGTCAAAATAAAGTTATTCGGATACGAACGTCAAGAAAGCTTTAAATAGCTTTAATGACAGTTCTCAATTCTAAGTCATAGATGGTGGAATATACGAAAAAAAAAAACTCTCCGTTTGACCACCAAGTTTATGGTCCATAACATGCTTGAAAACTCCAACCATTCCTCCACCTGATATGGAATAACATAAAGTAAAAAAAACAAGCGGTTAGCTTCTATCAGCAGTAGCCATAGCATACAAAACGCAACATCAGTTTATATTGACCCATTAATCTATCGCGGAATATGCTTAAAAGGAGTTATAAGAATTTCACACCCCACAAACAAACCCTCACGTATATACCCTCACTTTCACACCATCACACAACACAGCCGATTTAGGTATTATTTAGTTAAATGTATTTAATTATTTTATAGATTTTTTTTTTGTTTGGACCTTTTTGTAAATATTATGTATTCCATCTTTGGCTATATCTTTAGTATAATTTTTATATAATTTATTTTAGCTGTAGGATCACAAAATAAATATTAATACTTTAATAACTTGAAAATTCGTATTATCACAAAAAGTTTATATCTGACTTAACATAATTTCATACTAGCTTGTGTCTACTGAAATTGTATTTTTATCTATAAGAAATGGCGAATAGATGCGAAGAAATGTTGAAATAATTCAATAAATAAATTATTATACTTAGTAAATGTGCAAATTAGAAAAAAAACTTCTAGTACCAAAATCTCGCTCAAATAACATGTACAAAAATTGTAAACATTGAAATCTAAAAAAACAATTAGGCACATTTTATGACCAAACGATATTCCCTAACTGCCATTGTCCTAAAATATACACTCAGATCGTAATCAAACGTTGAAAAATATGTTGCTTACATATATAATTATCGGCTGTCTGAAAGTTGAAGGGAATAACCAGCTATTCGTTCAGTGCTTTCCGCGCGTGTGTGAACTTCAGTCGCGTAACCAAAATGGACATGTTTTCGCGCCATTTGATATGTCAAACGTCATAATTATTTCATTTAATATGCTCGTTAAATTTTAACTGTTTCCAGTGCGTAGTTAAACATTTAACCCGCATTAGTTATAACAGTTTGTAACATTTATTATTGCGATGAAAACTGTTTTCTATCAGTGGATTTTAAGTGAAAATGTGCGTTGTAATAAAAAATGTCGCTGAAAAATCTTCAAATGTTTCAACCATTAACACAGACCTACCATAGAGGGACGCCCATGAAGGCACCACCGTCTGCTCTATCAAGAACTATTTCAAAGTCAGCTGAAACCTTGGCCGGAAGTGTAAGATACGGTACGATAACTCAAGTCAAGTCAAAATCATTTATTCATATAGGTAACACAATGTTATGAACGTCAAAAAAAAGAAAATAAGAAGAAGAAGATACTCTTTTTTTAAGTATTTCAGGTTTTAGCATATTCGTAAAAGTTTAGGGTAAGAAAACCCGCGTATCAGTTTGCAATCATGGGAATCAGTTTATCTAAATTATAAAGAAAGCAGACGCAGAAATATGCCTAGCTCGCGACTGACTGACTGAAGAATTTTTTTTTTTTTTTGGGTTGTTTTTTTTTTTTTTTTTTGTTTTTCACCCCGGGGGGGTTTCTTTTTTTTTTGTGGTCCCCCCCCCCCGGCTTCTCCCCCCCCCAAAGGGCGCCCGGGGGGTTTTTTCGGCCTTTTAACAATTGGTACGCTATTTTCTTGATGAACCCAAAGTCAAATTGGTTCGAAAGTACTTCAGTGGGCAGCTGGTTCCACATAGTGGTGAGCGGCAAAAACTGCCTTAAAAACGTTCAGTCGTGGAACGACGGACGTCAAGGTGATACGAGTGGAATTTCGTATTCTGCCTCGACGTCCGATGATGAAAGTCAGCTGCAGGCATTCATCCGAATAACTCCGAATATGATCGTAGTGTGCATACTATTATATATTTCTCTTATTTTATATATATAAGAGAATTGCTTATCAATAGCCTATACTATCTTTTCTTAGGTAAAGAGTTGAAGACCCGCAAGGCAAGGAGTACGGAGCAGCCAGGAGGTGGTCTTGCTAAAGGGAGTAGCTCCTTGGGTTTGCCACTCTTAAGTAAATACAATGGAGACAGTGACAGTGTAAAGAGCAGATCCAGAAATGGGAGGTATGTTATGACCATAAAAAATATAAAAAAATATTCAGAGGCAGCACAACCATGATCATTTATCTTTTTATAGAATGGTTAGGCTTCTGTGCCTGACAAGTGAGAGATTTAATTATGACTAAGACATGGTGGAAGGTCCTCTATTCGATTCCCGACTTCATACTAAGAGTCGAAAGCGTTTAAAATCATGGAATGTTTTTTTCTACTTGGCTATAAACCCGTTTGGGTAGGTCTTCTTTGTATTTTAAAAAACAGAATAAGCTAATAAATCTTAAAAGAAAATGGAATTAAAGAACAACATTTCCCAAAAGGATGTATTAGAAAAGTAACATTTTTACTATAATACTTTTTTCATATGTAATTATTACAATAGACCAAGAACATAACAAGAAAATATACAGTTATTAAAATTTTCTTAACCTACATAGTAATTAATAATAAAAATAATTTTAAAATTAATAAAAAGTAATTTGAAACAAATTTAAAAAGTTTGGTCCCTGTGGTAGTGTACCTTTAACGCTGGCAGCATTTCCTTGCTGTATTGCGATACTTATACAAGATATTTTAAATTTTAATTATTTTTTTTAAATAGCAGGGACTCAGACGAGGCTCACCTGATGTTAAGTGATACCGCCGCCCATAGACACATTACCAGAGGGCACGCAAGTGCGTTGCCGGCCTTAAATCGCCGGCTGTTATTACAATAACATTCTATACTTAAAATTTTAACACATCGAGAATATATTTATCTTATAACATAACTAACGGAATGCTGTCTCATTCTACCACAGTAAACATTATCTGACAGATAGAGACAATTTAATGTTATAATTCAGGGTAAACAAAAATATTTATTTTGAATTACTTTTACCTAAAATCACCGACATTACGTGATAGGCCTTGAACCATCACCTGGCGGAAAGTGTATAAGATTGTCCAATAAATATTAAATGCACAATCAGTCACCGGCGCCCCTCGTCACGCGAACCAATTTCCAGCGAAGCCTATGTTAGTTTGGGGCAAATTGATGGACAAAGGCCATCCTAATGATTACAAAATACGTAGATTTTTATAAAATCACAGCTTTCTATAAAAATAATGTTAGATTTATTTTATGATTTTATAACGTTCTTCATTACCGAAGGTCGTATTGGTGTTTCATATCTTCCTCCATTCCTTCCTTTTTCCTGTCTTTGGCAAACCTTGGCGCCTGTGTAATACTAAGTCCTGTAAGGACCTTGGACGGTCCATTAGGGGTGTCTTGGGGTCTCGTGTCTTTCACTCCATTAGTTATAACCTATGGGTATGGAAACAATAATTCAACGCATTATACATTGCTCCCCTCACACTTTGAAATCAATTTTCCCTTAGTATTTATAATTACATGAGCAGTGTTGGCCTAGTGGCTTCCTCACCTGAGGTTGTAGAATCGAACCCCGGCTGTGCACCAATGGACTTTCTTTTGAATGCGCATTTAGCATTCGCTCGAACGGCGAAGGAAAACATCGTGACGAAACCGGCTTGCCTTCAAAAAGTCGACGGCGTGCGTCAGGCACAGGAGGCTGACCACCTACTTGCCTATTAGATTATGAAACAGATACAGAAAGCTGAGGCCCAGACCTAAAAAGGTTGTAGCGCCACTGATTTATTTATTTTATTTATAATTGCATAATTGTGTATATCTCGTCGTGTTTTTTAGGCTTGCCACACTAAATCTAGTATTTTATTTTTCTTGTACCAATGTATTACCGAGTGTTGGCAAGCTTTTGTAAGTAAATAAATAAACGCGTTTTCAGTTGAAGTACCATATCTTTTTTCCTTTCTCTATTACACGAATTTTTAATAAATAGAAAATGCATAGTCGAGTTCAGTATTATTGATAGATTGACTAATTATTAAAAAGCAATCAACCTAAACACAATTAAGAGACAAAATCTACTACTTCTAATTACTATTTGATATAAAGTTAGTAATGGTTTCGGAAAGTCGTACCAATCAAATCAAAATATTAAAATACGTCTGCGGGCAATATGGCATTCCAGTGGTAGCAGAAGTAGCAGGACTGGCAGCGTAGACCGGAGCACTCGGGGTTCCAGCACTACCCTCAACTCCGATGAAGATAACATCAATGTAGTAATAAGGTAAATAACAAATATTTATGCTGCATAGCTGGATATATTCAGTTGAGGGCTGATCAATTTTAATGAAAGCATTGTTAAGTGCCTATCTCGTACCTAATCCGCCGTTTTCTCGGCTTTAATTGTATTTTTTATGTTTTTTGTAACATTTATGTTTATTAAAATTGTCATACATTTTAGATAAAAGAGTTTGTAACATATAACGTAGATATAGTAATATGTATGATGTGGTAAACTTCAATAAATTAATTGGTTATGTATTCAGACCAAATAATATTATAGTCTATACACTATTAAAAATTATGCAGTCTTTTATTCTGTTCTAGTATGTTTAATTTTTCGAATCCAAGCTTTATCTTTTTTTTTTATTAAATTTTTTAACCGTAATCCTATAAGCTAAGGGCTCATGCCCACGAGACGGTTTCAACACGGCCCGGTTTTTGGCCGGCGCCGGGTAGAAACCGTCCGAGCTTGCACACAAGACGGTTTGTACACGACCCGGTTTCATCGAGGTGCCGTCTTCATACGCTCTTTTCATTTAATGAATAATTGTGGACGTATAAAATGTTGAGTGTTAAAAAGAGGAAATGTATTATTGCGTGGTACATGTATAAAAAGCTAAAAAACGACGAGAAAAAATACATAGACGACATTGGGTACCTCCCATGTTTACAGAAAGAGAAGATCATGGTGCATTTCATACGCTCATTCGGAAGCAACTATGACGAGAAATTTGAGAAGTACTTTCGAATGAAAAAAGAAACATTATAAAAATGTTACATATTTTGGAACCCAAACTTTAAAACATGAAGATACAAATATGCGCAGTAGTATATCTCCAATTTCACAATACACCAATTCACTCATACACTCATACACTGCCATACTCCACTGCGCACCAGGCGTAGACGCGGCGAGCACCGTGCCCGGTTGCATGGCGTCAAGTGGCCCTACAAGACGCCGGCGTCGGACATGGCCGGACATAGTGTCCTATACAAGACTGTCGACCGGACATAGACCGGGTCGTGGGTATGAGCCGTAGGAATATGGAAAAACAACCACTAAACTAACAGAAGTTGCATACATATTGTGCGAGCCAAGGCTGTACATTTTGCTCATTCATTTCGCTTTCTTAGTTTTATAAGCGTGGCGATTTCCTAAATCGTCGGGAGTTACGCCCCGAGAGTAGGTATAGCCTCTCTGTTCAACTATTACATTGCATTCATTTCATAGCAATTATGTATGTGGGAGTTACGCCCCGAGAGTATAACCAGACGTATGCACTGGCTTCGACTGTTACATTGCATTCAGACGTTACAAAGCAATGAACATTTCATTATGAATGTTACGTACAGTCTTGATGTACCGAATATATAATTAGACAATCTTGAATTTATAATTTGACAGTTCGACTATTATAAAAATAAAAAATATTATATTTAAGAAAAAAGCTAACTTTAAGTTTGTTGAGCAGAATCTCATTAAATAAAAATGTTTACCGATAAGTCGTTTTTAAATTACAAAAATCATTAGGAGTCCGTCGCCTTATCACCGGTATAATAGGTTGTTGACATTGACTAATAAATGAATTTTATTGATTTTTACCACCCTCATGGTAACTAGCTAATGTGGATTTTCATACCTCCAATTGTGATTAATTATATTACCTTGAAGTTTTTCTAGTTGTATAGGTGACCTACTACCCTGAAATAGTTTTACTTTAAACTTCCGTACCAAATATAAAAGCGTATGTTTCTTAAAACAAATTAACGAATTCACGATGTAAGCCGACTCAGAACTGAATATCCTAAGATACGAAGTTTACGAAGTTTTTTGGAAGATGGATTTAATGCAATAAGAGCGTACGACGGTGGCGTGATATATTTACTTTTTATGTTTTTTTTCATGTAAGTGACATGTTTGTTTTTAATAACTTATGTAACCGACTATTTTTCTTCTATATGTATAATTATGTACCTCGCTGCAACACTAAGCGAAAGAGAGGAAGACCATGTGCGCGGTGAGCTGATGACTTTAAAAAGCCACTGGTCCTCTGTGGCAAAGACTTGCCAGGGATAGGAAGCACTGGAAACAGCTGGAGGAGGCCTTTGGCAAAGGCAAGCTGTACAAGAGGACAGCTGTGCAACAAAAGTCAAAACCTTCTTAAAGAACTTTTTTTTTATATACATTTATATTTTGTAAACTTTCTCTTGTATTAGTTAAAAAAAGCCTTTGAATATTGAATTGAATAATTATGTTTATTATGGCAATGAAGTATAAATAAATAAATAAGATTAAACTTCTTTAAACCTAAATACCCGTTAATATTAGTATTTATCATTGTGTCAGTATAACACGACCCAAAGCCAAAACGTTATGTATATGTCAATAAATAACAACAGTTTGTCAATATGTTTCAAATTTAACTTCTATATGTCGGTAATGGATCAAATATCTACTACCAATGTGCGCGCGTTTAGTACTCAGTCACTCATGAACTGAGATAACTGCGATTCAATGGACAATAGCTTTGAAGCGACATCTATAATAATCTGCGCTTACAAATCACTGCGAGACGTCATGCCCTGAAACGCGTTAAAACAACACACAAAGATATATACAATATCTCGACCTCAGCCACTGGGAAAAATCAGATTAGGGTAAAAAACCGCCGGGGAAGGCGTGGACCTTTACCTAGACTTTGCTCACTCCAGTGAGCTTCCGTCCTGCCCCGCGACGGCCCAAGCCGAAGCCCGAGCTGAAAGGCGAACAGCGAGATTCCTTTTCTCAAAAAAAAACAGCCACTGGGCCGGACAGTCAGGCCGGATTCGTCGAGGACGCTCCTCAAACCCTTTAGGTTACTGGTGATCGACTATCAAGTTTCGGGGGCCAAGGCTCACTTTGTGTCGCTGCGCCAGCGCAGATAGAGACTTTACTTTGCGAGTGACAAACTATTCTGGGATAATTCAATAGCATCTTATTAATTATTCATTTACACACAGAATATTTCCCTTTTATCTTTATATTAAATGGTATATCTTAGATTTGAACTTATTCTTCTGAATTTAGAGTCCGGCCAGTAAACGAAAAGGAGCGATCTATAAGAGAAAGAGATATGCTGGAATTTCCTGGCAAAGGGCAGATCATCTGCCACAGCACTACACCTGGACAGAAGCCCAAGGTGTTCTCCTACAACGTTGTATTTGAACCAGCTGCAACACAGGTAAATTGGTTGTTAATTATTATTTATTGTATTTTTGTCAGCAAATTTATATCTAAATCTCTGTGTAAAGGCATACTTAACAGCCTCTTATACTAAAGATTCGTATCTGATTACTATAAAAACGTAGTTTATAGGTTATTATTACTTACAAGAGAGCACAATTTATTAATAATTTTTTTTTTTTTTTTTTTATTTATTCTATACAAGATCCTAAATAGAAAGAAGTTGGCGTGGTGGAAACACAAACTGGACACAGACTATATGGAATAAACAAATAAATCAGTGTAATCTGTATCTGTTTCATGATCATTTGTCAATTTAATAGGCAAGTAGGTGATCAGCCTCCTGTCACACCCCGTACTTTTTGGGTCTAAGATATGTCAGTTTCCTCACGATGTTTTCTTTCACCGTTCGAACGAAAGTTAAATGCGCACATAGACGGAGAGTCCATTGGTGCACAGCCGGGGATAGAACCTACGACTTCAGGGATGAGAGTCGCACGCTGAAGCTACTAGACCAACACTGCTCTGTTTTGCTCTTTGCTAAACAATTTATTAATAGCTTGCCTAATACTTTTTTATTTTCACACTTCTTTTCTTCTAGGATGACGTTCTAGAATATTCAGGAATCAAGCGATTACTCGAGATGGCAGTGGAAGGTTTCTCGTGTACAGCCTTTTGTTACGGTCAAACTGGGAGTGGGAAGACTCATACACTAACAGGACCACCAGGATTGGTAATATTAGATAAATACATAAAAAATAGATTCATTTGTGTAAGTGACTAAAACATGGTTTAGTCTTTTTGAAAATTTGGTTATTTCAACCTCGGTGTGGCTTGGTTAAAGAAGGTTTTTTAACCAAGATTTGTTACGTGAATTATGTCTTTCTTAAGTTGTAAGTCTAAATACAGAAATAAATACAAAAAAGTTAATATAAAATTTGTAATGCCAAGATTAGTCGATACTACTAACTACCGATGTAGTTCCCTGTGGTAAGAAATTTACGAAACATACACTTTAATGCCGTGCTTCCCAATGTGGGGCTCACGCCCCACTGGGAGGCAAGTTGATTGATAAGAGGGGCTATTCGAAAATTTATTTAATTCGGAATTTCAATTTCAGTTTTTCATTCGTTAACAATTTCCTAGTAATATATCCCTTAAACAAAACGTTTCTTAATAAAAAATAAAAAAATTTAATATTAAAAATAATTTTAGAAAAGTTAAGGTGGGGCATGGTACATAAACGGTCGAGAGACACTGCTTTAATGTGTTCGTGGGTTTCATCTATTACAAATGCCTATGTCGAAGTTAACCTTAAAAATCCATATTAGTAAATGATACATATAAAATTAATTGCATAGAAGACACCTAACACTAACAAACTTTATAGAGCAAAGTTGGCGACCTCGTGGTCAACCGATCGATTTCCACCCTCATGTCTATAGAATATCGACTATAGCAGATGGTTTGCGTTTTTAAGTTAGCATAACACAGTAATAATTACAAATTTTCAGTTGGTAAAAATTTAAAATTCGTGCAAAGAACAGAAAATTTAAATAGCTTATACATATAAGTAAAGAGATAAGTAAAACTGAATGTTTTGTCAATTAACCTATTCAACACGTTATTTAAAAAAAAACCGGCAACGCACTTACTAGCTTGGCAATGTGAGCGTCTATCACTTAACTCCTGCACTCACTACGTTTGCCCCCTGTTACATAAAAAGCATCAAGGCGTTGGGTTCGATTTCTAGGCTAGCAACAATCTATTTAGTTGGAGCCAAACGGGAGCTGTCACCTTAAACTGGATAGGGAGACGTTATAAACGCTACGAGGCCATTATATCCTGACAATTAGATTCGATTGTAATCCATAAAAATCGATTAGCAATTCGAATAGTCACGTCTGTTGATAAGATTTTCGACGAGTTTCAAGGTCACGAAGAAATCAATCAATAGAACATAGGCATATGGCTTCCAATTTCTGTTTTTCTTCGCGTCGCTGGAAATTCATAGTAAAAATATTACTTTCAAACTCAATACTTAAATATTATACAATTTGACCTTACCGGTAAAAGCTTGTCGCGTGACGTAACGCTGTGTTAACTGCTTAATGATAACATAATATCGCTATCTACACGACATATTTTGTTCATATTTGGGTATAATATACAAATAAACGTTGTGAAAATGTTTTTGACTATATGATGTGCAAAGTTCATCGATGTGTTATCAGACTATCATTTTATTTATTTCCTCTAGTAAAGTAAAACACTGGTACACAATTTTTCTCTTTAATAAGAACTTTTTGTTTTTTTTAAATTTCTTACTCTACCTCATTTTGTTAAGTTATAAACGAAAGTTTATAAATATATTGTTTATAAAATTAGTTTATATCCTATACTAATATTATAAAGAGGAAAGATTTGTTTGTAAGTATATTTGTAACGAATTGGCTCAAAAAATACTGGACCGATTTTAAAAATTCTTTCACCATTTGAATGCTACATTATCAATGATTAATATAGGCAAATATAGGCTTTTAATTGCAAGAAAAAAAATGAGGGTCCCTCCTAAAACTTTAATGGTACGGGGAACCCAAAGAAAATGTCTATAAATATCCCCTTCTCGCATCAATCATGCAAACAAATAAATGTCCACCCGAGCGAAGCCTAGACGGGCTAGTTGTTTATAAAACTATAAACATTTTGCTAAGAATTCATAGACATGGAGATTGTTTGTCTCAAATCTAATATTTTAAGAAATATTAATTAATATTAAATTTCCTCTAGGTGGAAAGTGGAGCCAGTCCATACTCACCAGAACACGGCTTGGTTGTGCGATCCTTCGTCTATTTATATAGACTTATACGTGACCAACCAAATAGTCATTTTGTCCTTAAAGCTTCCTTCTTAGAGATTTATAATGAAAAGGTAATAAAAAGTCCTTCAAGAAAAGAGCGTACCAATTCTTGAAAGGCCGGCAACGCACTTGCGAGCCTTCTGGCATTGTGAGTGTCCATGGGCGGCGGTATCACTTAACATCAGGTGAGCCTCCTGCCCGTTTGCCTCCTATTACATAAAAAAAATATTCACTACAGATTATATACTATTTAACTCACGAAGAAAATGCTGTAGATCGAAAAAGAAACAACCTGGATCTTGTGGCTTCGATCTCGTCGAAACCATAATTGTTTTGTATTTATAGCGACCAAGCTACTGAAGCTGTTTTATATTTCTTCGTGATGATTAGCGTTTATATCACTAACTTAAATAAACAGTCAAAACCGTTTACGACGACATCGTTTAGAACAACATACCGGTTATATTGACCAAAATCAAATGTCCCGGGTGAATTCTATTGTATTAGGTACTTAATAACAACGTCATCGGCTGTTACGACTATCGGTTTTTACGACCAAATATTAGTAGTCCCTTCGATGTCGTTATAACAGACTTTGACTGTATATTGTATGTTTTTCCTAATTAATTTCGTATGTTTGTTTATAATTATTTTTTATTGGTTATGTATTCTTGTTGATTTAGGACCTGTTAGGACAAGATTGTGTTTTTTGTAAATAAATAAAATTAAGTCCCATAAAACACGTCTGTCAGTATGAAGGCGATATCTCACAAACCGAACGGATTTTTGTACAGTTTTCACCAATAAATAGAATTTACTCTCGTCATCACAGGTGATAGATTTGCTAAATCCAGGTAGTTCAAGGAAACCACTCCAAGTGCGCTGGTCAAAAGAGAGCCGAAGCTTTTATGTAGAGAACTTGTTTATGGTCGATTGCGAAGAGTTAGATGACCTTTTTGCTGTTTTAGAGGAAGGTATGTTAAAATATGTACCTAATTTTAATTTATAGATGATCGACTAAGACAAAAAGAAGTAAAAAGTTCTGTACTCGTGCATATATATTTAGTTTATCTACAAGTTTCTGCTTTCAATCAATATTCATACCTCTACGACTACCAAGTAAGTAATCCAGAAAACAAGTAGATTATATTTTTCTGACCTGGTTGAATTTTTTAAATAGTCAAGTGTAAACACGCTTTGATTATTAAACACAATTCGGATGATCATTGCAGATCATAATGATTACTTGGTCTAATAATTGCATAACTGCAGCTTTTTTGGAAATAAATAAAATTTCTGGGATTTAAATATATACAAATCTTCCACGTAACGGTAATATAAATCAAATTCCTTAGTAGATCAAAATAGGTCCAATGGAAAATGAGATTTAATCATATGTACCACGATGAACACTTATGAACGCCAATAGGAAAAGTAAAAAAGGAAATGCATCTAAATTTACCTCTATTATTACAATAATCTATACCTGGCCTCACAATAAAATATTTATTGAAAAACTCGACTGAAAAACCTTGTCCATTTTATTTGGAAAAATAATTAAGGGCTAGGGAGCCTCCACTCCATGTTTGCCTAAAGTCCTTCGGACCTCTAAATCCGTCTCTTTTAAATCGCTAAGTTTTTCGTTTCACAAAAATGTTTGCCAGTAGCTGCCCTTAAATCATGGCACTCATCACATTTTTAACTAAACAAGAAGCTTTTTATTTTAGGAATGCGTAACAGAGCAGTAGGCTCCCATGCAATGAACAGTCACTCATCGCGATCGCACACGCTACTCTGCGTGCGCGTACGCCGTGACGTGCGCACTGCCGGTGACGTCACGTGCTCCACACACGGCAAAATCAACTTTGTCGATCTAGCTGGTAGCGAGATGACCAAAAAGACTCATAGCACTGGAAAAACGTTGGAAGAAGCGAATAATATTAATAGGAGTCTCATGGTGCTGGGTAAGTTGTCATCAGACAGTGGAGCAAAATTGAGAAATTTACCCAAGATTTAAATCAGTGGCGCTACAACCTTTTCAGGTCTGGGCCTCAGATTTCTCTTCCTCAGACTTATCATGTGTCAATCTAATAGGCAAGTAGGTGATCAGCCTCCTGTGCCTGATACACGCTAACGACTTTATGGGTTTAGCAAGCCGGTTTCCACACGATGTTTTCCTTCACCGTTCGAGTGAATGTTAAATGCACACATAGAAAGAAAGTCCATTGGTGCACAGCCGGGGATCGAACCTACGACCTCAGGGATGAGAGTCGCACGCTGAAACCACACATATTGCTCTCTTACTTAACTGATACGAAAATATATTCCCAATATTTCCATAACACCAGGTTTCTCTAAGCGAATGTAAATGATATAATAAATTGGTATTAATATTCGTTAACAGTTAAAGTGTTATTGAAATGCGTATTTTTTGCATAAGCCATAGACAATTTTTTTTTCTTTTTAAAGGAGATACATATTATGTGTTTAATATGAAAAAGGCTAGTCATTATTCTTTTGATGAACAGAGTATGTGCGAAAGGGATTCAACGTGGCAGTAATGCGAACAAATATAATTCTTATACGCATCGATTAATTCACAAAAATTATAAGTTTATATTTTTCATATTGAGTAAGTATCAAGATTTCAGTCGAACTATAATGACCTAGGGTTGTCAACAAAAATGTGGCAAGTTTCTTTCCGCACAGAATCTAAAACTAATTTCTGTTCAATGGCTAACATTATAATAAGTAATAATAATAAAGGCACTTTAATTCCATACAGTTAGCAATTACATCAAATGGGTGTTAGTTGCTCTTAGTCTACGTTAGTTATTGATATTTCCGTTTCTTTGTGTTTTCCAGTCCCCAGGGTGAAGGCCTCTTCCTGAACTTTCCATTTGGAACTGTTCTTTCATCCATTTCTCCCCAGAAACCTTTATATTGCTTTAGTCAACAATAAATGTACACTAAATAGTTTGACATAAAAATATAATTGAAAAGATTCTGTGTTAACAAAGGAACAGATTTTTGTGCATAGCAATCCGAAATGGTTTGCTGAGAATCGACCCAGTGCAGTGTGCACATGTATTAAGCCATATACCTAAATATTTTTAATTTTAAACATTTTTTCCCATACTTTTTTATTTAGGTTATTGTATAGCTCAACTAAGTGATGGCAAGAAACGTGGACACATCCCATATAGAGACAGTAAATTGACGAAGTTGCTGGCGGACAGTCTTGCTGGAAATGGCGTCACGTTGATGGTAAAAATAAATTTAAAAAAATAATTTTATACAATGTCAGCTGTTAATATGTAATGTATATATTTAAGCAAAAACTAGAGTGGACGAACTACTTCCTCGAATAAAAAAGGTTTCGATTTGAGTGTTATGTCGGCCCGCCCAAATAAGTAAGCCTGATAAGTTTAAAAAATAAAAAAAATGATAATTTACGCAGTCTCAACTCGCGCTGAATCTTACCAAAACATAATTGTTAATAATTAGTGTACCAGTTTAGTCAAAAGTCAAAATCATTTATTCATATAGGTAACACAATGTAAACTTATGAACGTCAAAAAAGAAATATATATGATATATATCAAATGCTTCTAATTTTACATTTACTGCCAGTTCTCAAATTAAGGGCGTAGAACGGAAGAGAAGAACTGGCAATAAACTCTCCGCCACTCGTTTAATCGCCAAGTTTTTTGTTTTACACAACGTTTGTAAGGAGCTGCAACCATTACACCATGTTCCACATCTTTAGTAATAAATAATAATAAAATAAATTAAAAACAAAGATTTGTCCACTATCTAGTGACATACAAAACACCATTTGTACTTATATCTCGTCTTCGTGAGCAAGTGTACCTATATTGTGTATTATTGTAATAATAATAATAATAGCCTTTATTCCTGTAAAATACTTATATTTATATAAAAATGTGAAGTGCTTTGAATACTAATTATTAATCGGCAATCCCGTTAATTTCTGTTTTACAGCTTGTCCTTGGACATAGGCCTCCTTTAACAGCTTCCACTCTTCTCGGTGTCTAGCTTTACGTAGCCACATAGGCCCAGCTGCTCTACTTATATCATCTTTCCATCTCTTTGTCTTCCTCGTTTTCTTTTGTCACAGCGAGGAAGCCACGCCGTCGCTTTTTTCGTCTTTTTAGTTTTCTGTTCTCCCATAATGTGTTCTGTCCATTTTCATATTTCAATCTTTATTATATTTATTTAAAATAAGTGTACATTTCCACAATATATCATATATAAAGCGTATTTATATCATAGCTTACTGATTCTTTTTTTAATATAGATCGCCTGTATAGCTCCAACAAAATCTAACTTGAGCGAGACCATCAACACTTTGCGATACGCTGCAAGAGCCAAGAAAATTAAGTCAAAGCCCTTAGTAAAGATGGTAAGAAATTATAAATAGACATTAAGCTTCGCGAGTCACCTACAATTAACAGATCTAAGGCCCGAGGGTTGTAGCGTCCCTTTTATTTAGCTACTTAATCCCGTCCACCAGCAGTGTTGGCCTAGTGGCTTCAGAGTGCGACTCTTATCCCTGAGGTCAAAGGTTCCCCCCCGGCTGTGTACCAATGGACTTTCTTTCTACGTGCGCATTTAACAGTCGCTCGAACGGTGAAGGAAAATATCGTGAAGAAACCGGCTTGACTTAGGACCCAAAATGTCGACGGCTTGTGTCAGGCACAGGTTGTTTGCTGATCAACTACTTGCCTATAGACTGACAAATGATGATGACAGCTACAGAATTCTGAGACCCAGACCTAAAAGGTCACGCCACTGATAAAATAATTCAGCCGAGTTATTTGTTCATACTCAAACTAGCCTACAATACCATACATAAAATTCTACATCAAAGATGAAATCGATTGGTTGAAAGCTAAGACCCAAACTTAACTTAAGTAACTTAATGCATTATCACCAAAATTTTGCATATTACATATTAGTCCAGTTTACATCTCCCAACTAACACATACACACACTAGCTAAGATTAGCTAGTCCTCTGCCCCTGGAGTGTTAGATAAAGAAGGGAATGTTAATTTTTTTACTAACAGGACGCCAGAGATGCCCTAATACTAAGCCTGAAACGTGAAGTAGACACACTGCAGGCTGAGAATCAGCATTTGCGTACAGCGCTCCACATACAGACGGATAACATTGAGGATTCATATGGTGAGATTACATATATTTCTATCAATTATTGTCTTTATATAGTATTATTTGAGGTATATTTTAATACATATGTTTTATATACGTTCCCGTCAATACACGATCCACAACTGAGCGTTTGTTTAGGCAGTTTTTGCCGCGCACCACCACTATATGGAACCAGCTGCCCACTGAAGTATTTTCGAACCAATTCGTCTTGGGCCAACGCACTCGCGAGCCCTTTGGCATTGTGAGTGTCCATGGGCGGCGAGCCCCCCTGGCCGTTTGCCCCCTGCTCTATAGAAAAATTATACTATGTGCTAACGATAAATAAAATTAATAAAAAAAATATATTGTATTTTGTTATAAAATCTATTTGCGCAATTCTAATTGTTATAAAAATACATGGCAGTTCCTATTTATTAATATTAAACTTTTTAATTCTTAGGTCAAAGGAATCGCCAAATACCTTTAGAAGCCAACAAGCTCTACCAACTACCACAGTCGGAGTTGGTGGAACTTATACAACTTCATATGGAAGAGAATTCCGCTTTAAGACATGAAAACTCGGAGCTATTTCATATAAGAGACCAGTTATTGCGCGACCAAGAGATATTAAGCAGAGAAAATGAGAGGTTACTAAAGAAATTGGAAGATGTCAACTCGTAAGTATTTTTTAAGACCCTTCAACTTGGACCTTGGATTTGGCCTTTTTAGGTATGCTTAAACATGTGATGATGAATCTCAATGATAATAAACTAATATCTTGTGTCATATTTCTGGGTTAATTCCCAGTGTCAAAAAAGTTTATGGTTAGAGACAAGCTATTTGCAATAAATTATTAATTATTCATTGCCCCTTCCTTTCTCTGTACTCAGGAAATAAGAAAGTTGCATACACTTTTTGTTACAAGTAAATAAGGTTGAAATACGTTAATTATTCCCATAGAACACTATTTGGATGATTTTAAATCAGGTCAGTGGTCAGCCATCAAATTGGCATGTACACATATTAAAAATAAGAAACACAGTCTAAAGCATGTTGCAAAATTTTAACTATCATATAAATATCTTGCAATAAAAACAAATTAAGTTGTAAGAATTATATAATAGACATTTAATTGTGTTTTATTCTTATTTAGCGTTTGCATCAGATCACCTATAATACCTGCTCGACCAACATACTCAGAAGCTGGAAGTACAGACACCAATATTTGGACAAACACTGCAAGTTCCTCAAATAGTACTTATAAGGAATCTTAGCAAAATAATACACATTATTATATTACACATATATTAATATGTAGTTGCTATAAAAACCCATTTTTGTGAATTTGAAGACAATAATATGTTAAGGTCTAATTTGTTAAAGAATTAATTGATTGATCAATTAATTATGTATGATAGTTGTAAAATGTACAAGGCTTAGCAAAAGGTTGAATTTTTAAGTTATTCCATCCCAATTCCAGTGAAAAATATATAAACATATTGAAATATAACTAACTTATTTTATTTTTGTGTAACCTTAACAAAAGAAAACTTGTGCGATCAAATATGATATGATCCATTTAAAAAATAATATGAGCCATCACTGAGATTGGAAACATGTTTTATTTTTAAAACATTCTTTTATCATTAATTCTCATTCACACAAAAATCTTAAGTCCAGTGTCTTTCTAGTTTTATTCTAAAACTAGAAAGAAACTATTGCTAGTGTCTTCTAAAGCCATACTTCTTTCTTTCATAGAATAGATCTGTCTTAGAACTTCCGAGGTTTACAATTTTTGGACATCCATCTCTCTGAAACAAAATTAAAAAAATTACTTTATAATTTTTTACATTACATTACTCATATCAACCAATTAAAAAGCTAGGAAATATGACACTCTTAGATAACTAAAAATAAAGTATGAATATTACGATATAAAATTATGATAAAAGAAAGAAAGAAAAACTTTATCATACACAATATACAGGATATTTAGGTAAAGTATACTCGCCCCCACACTAGGATTACCTGTTGTGGGCAGTGATAGTGTTGTTTATTTAAGGTTAACTATATCAAAAATATTTCATGGTGGTCTTACATCTTTTTCTTGAATGGTGCATTCTTTGCAGTAATATGCATCTGAAACACCTGGGCCTCCACAAATTACACATCTTCCTTGATACGATCCGTAGTTACACTCATCACATATCCTTACCAAAGTGCATGGACGCACGTAAGAATCGCAAATGACACATTTACCGTCACATTTCTCACACAAACGTCCAATCGCTAAAACAAATTTAATAACAATAATAGTTAGAAATTAACATGACTAATGGACAAAATATAAAATACATACCGACGCCGGGTTGTTTTCGGCAAAATATAAGATCAGGGTGATGCTTAGCCATTTTCAAATGATAAACTAAGTCCACAAACAAATCTTTAATATTTTTAAAAGAATAGGAACCACGACGGTACAATTATATATAAAGTATAAACTAGTTGTCTGTGTTTAATAAATTATGATCATATTATTTTAATTTTTACCACCATAACCTAGACTATGACAATTGACAATGTCCTTACTAAATTTGTGTACCAAACGTAAATGATATAGAATATATATCAAACACATAATATAAAATAGGAATACAGATAATTATATTTGGCTATTTGTCAATTTAATTGTCAGCATCAGTACTATTAACTGTCACTTTCTTCTAACGATATGTCAAAATCATCGACAATTCTTAAGTGTCATTTGCTGATTCATCTGTATTCTGCGCTCAAGGAAAGAATGCGAGACATGTGTTATTAATTATTGCAATATTTTTTTTAAAACGGATTATTCTTGATTTTTGCCTAACAATGACTGCAGACAGTGATAAAAGTGAGAATGAAAGCCAGCACTCTGATAAAAGTGATAATGAAAGCCAGCACTCTGAAGAAGACCAAGTTGAGGATAAAGTTAAAGAGCAGGAAGAAGATACTGGGACCTTTAAAGATTTGGTAAACACTCATTTATTTATATATTCCCCTGTAACAATACGACAGAGACTACATTTAAGTATTCTATAAAGTTATATATAAAAGCTCTTGCTAGTTAACTAACTTCGTGTTTTTAGGTTATGGATTAAACAACCTTATCAGTGTTAACATGGAAAAAGTTCTTAACTGTTGCAAATCAGAAATTAGACCTAATTTTTATTAATATTTATTTATGTCTAACTTTATTACAGGGCGTAGTTGACGTATTATGCGAAGCTTGCGAAGAACTTAAATGGAAGAAACCTTCGAAAATACAAAAAGAAGCAATCCCAGTGGGCTTACAAGGCAAAGACATCATTGGTTTAGCTGAAACTGGTTCTGGAAAAACTGGAGCTTTTGCCCTGCCAATATTACAGGCATTACTGGAAAGTCCTCAGAGATACTTCGCTTTAATACTTACACCTACCAGAGAATTAGCATTCCAAATATCAGAACAATTTGAGGCTCTTGGTTAGTTCTCCTTAAAATGTTATAATATAAAACTCATTTATTGATAACAAATAATTCTTAAAACTTTACATTTTAAGGTGCAAGTATTGGTGTAAAATGTGCAGTTATAGTAGGAGGAATGGACATGGTTGCCCAAGCACTAACTTTATCAAAGAAGCCTCACATAATTATAGCTACTCCTGGCAGACTGGTTGATCATTTAGAAAACACAAAGGGCTTCAATCTTAAAGCTCTAAAATATCTTGTAAGTAGATAGAGATCAATTTCAATGTTTAAAATTAAATATTAAAATCTGTTGCCATTTTTTTCAGTTTTAATAATTTTCTGTGATAGGTTGACAGATTAATAACTGTTTAAGAGAACATTTACATCTTAAAACTATACATTAAAATTGGAGACAATATTTCAGTGTATATTTATTGCAGGTGATGGATGAAGCTGATAGAATTCTTAACATGGACTTTGAAGTTGAAGTAGACAAAATATTAAGAGTGATACCTCGTGAGCGGCGCACATATCTATTCTCTGCTACTATGACAAAGAAAGTTCAGAAGCTACAGAGAGCTTCATTGCAAGATCCAGTAAAGATTGAAGTTTCCACTAAATACCAGACTGTTGAAAAACTTCAGCAGTACTACGTATTTATTCCAGTGAAATATAAGGTTTGTTTATAGAATTCTTCTATAACTCTGGTAGTTCAACAAATGTTAAATGTAAAGCTTGTAAATTTTTTAAGAATCACTGGACTACAATATCTTAAGTAAATAGTTAAGTTTGTTTCAGTAATAATACCCAGATATTGTTTTATAAATTTCTGTGGAATAATATAACATTGCTTATTGACATTAAATTACTTACTTTATTACATATTAAGGATACCTAGTAAATAAAAATACTCAGACTTGTTTTCGATACAACCATTTCTATGTTGCGCTCCTTTTCAATGAATCTATTAATGAGTAAGCACTCATAGCTCACATTATTCCATTCTGGATTGGCGGATTGATTCCAAGATCTAGATCTAGAAGATAATCTTCTGCTTACTGCTAATCTTGATTAGAATCAGTTCCTTAATATCATCATCTTAATTAAATATTTCACAAAATTGCAGGATGTATACTTAGTCCACATACTAAACGAGATGTCTGGTAACTCGTTCATAGTATTCGTATCTACTTGTGCAGGCGCCTTACGAGCTGCTTTACTACTTCGTGCTCTCGGAGTGCCCGCTGTACCATTACATGGACAAATGTCCCAACAAAAACGTCTAGCAGCCTTAAATAAATTCAAAAGCAAAGCCAGATCTGTACTTATTTGTACTGATGTTGCTTCAAGGTAACAAACATTCTTTTTAAAATATTTAATTTATTTCATGTTCATACACCTTATAATAACTACCTTTAAAATTCTTATTTCAGAGGTTTAGATATCCCTCATGTAGATGTGGTGATAAACCTGGACATCCCATTGCATAGTAAGGATTACATTCACCGTGTTGGAAGAACAGCTCGAGCCGGTCGATCGGGAAAAGCTATCACATTTGTTTCTCAGGTATGAATTAATGAGTTTTTTTGTTTAGAAATTTAGAGACCTTGGAAAAACGTGTTTTTAATGACGAATTAAAGACGTAAAAGCTTGTTATGCGATTGTATCTGGTATACAATATCTGGATCTTGTATTTTTTACTTATCAAAACATAGCGTATAATGGAATGTTGTTTTGAGTTACATTTTAGTTATTTTCAGTTGGTAATGCGCCCTCTTATATGTAAACTATTAAAATGCGCCACTAGGCGCAAAACAAGATAATAAAACACTATTTTGACCGGATTGAAGTTATGTATTATTATAAATTTACAACTATTTAACATAATTTATATTTATCCGACGTTTCGCGTGCTTTACAGCGTGCGTGGGTCACGGTGACTAAACGCACGCTGTAAAGCAGCGAAACGTCGGATAAATTTAAAATTATGTTAAATAGTTGTAAATTTATAATAATACATAACTTCAATCCGGTCAAAATAGTGTTTTATTAAATGAATAAAAGTTATGTTAATCAAAGACAATACTATGCAAAACAAGATAGTAAAACAATTTAACATAATTAATTATAATATAAATTCCAGTACGATGTAGAGTTATACCAACGCATCGAGCAGTTGATTGGCAAGCAGTTGCCCCTCTACAAGACAGAAGAGAGTGAAGTGATGGTCCTACAGGAGCGAGTCGCCGAAGCTCAGCGACTTACCAAAATAGTAAGTAGTTTTCATCTGAAGTTTGAGATAAAATCACTTTGCAACAGTCTGTAACCCTCTAAGGAATTGTTTTTTTTTGGTAAAAATTATAAAGCTACTTTATTCATCAGGAAATGAAAGAACTTGAAGATAAGAAAGGCGCTAAGGGCAAGAAGCGTGGTCCTGCTGATTCAGACGATGACACGGAAGAGGCAGCTGGTGTACGCAGACGAATCAAAGGGAAACCCAAATATGGGGGCAAAAAGAGACGTTAATTTTTATGCTAGTTTTTAAATACACTATAATCATAATTAAATATTTAATTTCGCGATTCCCTACAGTTTAAGTTTCTCCTAAAAAATTCACACACTGCTGCTAGCTGTGCAGGGCCTGATTGATAAAAGTAGTTTAAACTGATCATCTAAAATTTCAGTGCATTGAGCATGGATCAGATTTTCAAATAGAACATATTTCATTTAGAAACACTTAGCCTTATTATCATAGTAATTTTAAAAATCAAAACCAATATTCACATAAACTTGTCAAACAAACAAACACGATGTTTCAATGCTTCTTATAGTTTATTCTACAAATTAAAACAGTCATATTTTAAAAAATAAATAAATAAAAATGCGTTATTTCCCCAATAAGGGTTGTCGATGCCAGCGTTCGCACTTAAACTAAGCGTTAAGAGAAATCACAACATGTTTTACTTTATTTCATCATTATTTATTATTTCTATACAAATAGAACTGTACAGATAATTTTTTAAATTATTTACCACATGTCATTCTTCACAAGACTTTTTACAAAAAAACTGAAATAGACACAATGCATGTGGCATTCACATGCTCTTCACTTACATACCACTAGTCTAGTCGCGCTTCACCACACTTTGCCCACTCAACCCCACAAGACCCCGCGAGATCCAGAAGGCTAACGGAACCCCTATCAACATCACAATCAAACCAAATCACCACCAACTGTCTTAATGCATTGGCAATAATGGCAACACAACTGTGCAACTGTACACAACAGCAGTCAACTTTGTTAACTCTGCTATGGTCATGATTATTTGACAATCTGGCAGCCCTATTGTGCTAACGTTTCCATATACCTTTCCACCTTCCGTTGAGAGGCGCTCAATAACAGATGTTATTCTATATTTTAATACTTATACTAAAGTGGCTAGCATTCAAGACCCTATTGCATTATAAGATCACTTTGTAAATGCTAAAAATATATAAGGCATGACTTTAAGAACTACAAAAGATATTCAACACCTCTCTCTTAAACAAAATAAGTACAATAAGAATTTTTGTCGTATAAAACATGCCATGGCAGTGATGTAACAATTTTTTTATCTAAATGCATAAAATTTTCTCTGGAAGGTGAAAACGTATATTAACAATTTATTATTAGCTAAGTGCCTTTTTGAATTACCACATCAGCATGTTACTTTGTTGTATGAAAATTTTATAATACTCATTCTACATTAACTAATATGTTTTAAATAATTTTATAACCTTAGGTACAATACCAACATTTTTCATGTTAAATAAAGAATAATTTAAATTTCCTTGCAAATACATGTACATATGTACAAACAATAAAAAAAGAAATCCAAGAAGCCAAAATATAACTTGGAATTTCTAAAATAAATCATATTCAATATTTTTGGTTGCGTAAAAGAAAATTTAAATAATACATTTTAACTTACAGGTAAAACAAGATAAAAGAAACAGTAGTTATATTGATAACAATTTTAATGTATTTTTTACAAGATTTAGTAAATTTGTGGTAATACAAAATGCACAAGTATAATTTCAAACTAACCCAGTCTCTATATAACTTTAAAAACAAATGCCCAAAGCGCTCTCAGATAGAATCTTTTCAATAAAAAGCGATGATTTGTATTGCAATTAGATCATATCCACTGTTTCTTAACTTATATACTGTTTTAAAAATGAAGGTAAAATTGGTTAAAATTATAATGTTTACAATTCATCACGATTAATTAATTTATATACAATTTGTTACTAAAAGCAAGTGAACAGAAAGTCACGCAAAATTTATTATGACTAGCATAAAATTTCTTGGACGACTAACATTAAATATTGCTTTAACAGAGGTACTTGTTACACACTTGTTTACATTGGTTTTGTTATCTTAATAATGATTGTACTGATGGTAATTTTTTTTTGTAATTTCAGCTGTGAATGAGATTCTGTAATATATATAAAAAATACACATCCAATGGGTTGAAAAAATCATGTTTTCCAAGTGCGCTGAGGGCCCTAAACCGATATCACAAGTTTCATTATACTTATTGAGTCTCATCGTAATGTTTCGCATTTTCGTTCGCTTTACAAATTCGTTACTCTACTGTACAATATAACAAACTGCCAGAAGAGCGAGAAAATTATTTTACAAAAGACACAACAAGGCGCTTTTCAAATCGTAAACAAATCAAACGGAATAAATTAATATGCACGTACATTCTACAGATTGGAGCGCCTCATTACATCACAGAAATAAGCGACAAGTTAATACTTACATTGGAATGACACGAGGATTGGTACAAGGCAACGTTGGTTGATTCTGATGGATATTGCTCAAATACACTGTCACAACACTAGACACTTGTTCCTTCACTATTGGTGTTCACAATCACTGGTCACGAGTAGGTCCTTGGGGCCCGACGGACCCCGGCTGGGGCCTGAGACCCTCGGCCTGCGAGGCGGGCAGAGATGTGCGGTTGGAAGCGGCTCACTACACGAATTCAGTTCAAGTCACGATCTTCTAAGTACTTGTACTCAAACGTGAAGCCTTCTTTTTTCCGCTGGCCCCACTTCTCGTAGTCAAAGTATATGTACGTGCCCTGGAATTACAGCGATTTAAGTAATATTTTTATTATAATTGTTTGTTAAATTACATGCATGCTATAGGGATTTAACTATTCAACAAGATTCACAAGTTTAAGGGGATAAATAAACCAACCTTAAATAGGCGCCTTTTATATATTTATTATATATGAATTAATTTAATTGTATACATAAACTGAAAGGGTAACAATTATTATAATTGTTACCCTTTTATTACAATTCAAATAAACAAATTAGTAATTGAATTGTATTATATTATGGCTGTTATTTCAAAAAAATGAGAATTTTACAAATCTGCAATACATACATACCTCAAAAAGCTATAATAAAAAAGGTGTATTAATTGTCTAACCAACCTGTTCATATTCCTCATTGATGACCTTAGGCTCTTCATGCCTTTGGAACCACATCATGTATTTCGTGTGGAACCGCCAACTCTGCTTTTTCAGAGCTTTCGCGGCAAGGTATTGGGCTTTCGTGCCCTCCATGTAGTAGAACACGAAGAATAATGTCTCTGTTGAGAGTCGCTGGAAGAATTCTACTGTGTCTGAATGGGGTAACAGCACCTGGGAAGGAAAACTGATAATTAAATATATTTTTCTTACAATAGAATAGTCTTCTGACTGTGTTTGTCATTGAACCATAGTTTTAGAGAACTTTTAAAGAATAATAAATTAAGTATTCAATAAAAATGTGAATGTGTAAAATTTATATATTTATGTCTAAGCATGCACTTAAAGTATACATAAATATATAACCAAATATTAGCATTATCACGATTACACATTTCGCTGTCACTATTAATTATTATTATTAATAACAACAGAAATATAATATAAAAATCACTAAAGAATATATTACAATACTGTACAAATAAAATATGAAGTTCAGTATTTGGTTGGGTCTTTAGTTAAGGGTTGGAACACCCTTCTTGGGTATACGATTCCATACATTCATAGCTTGTTACTGCCAAACATGTCTGACCAACATTTTTGGTTTGTGAGCCAGGTCATTTCAGCACTTTGTAATATTATAAAGTAATACTTATCCAAGCTGACCATTTTCTACATAGCATTTATATAGTACAGAAATTATTAACTATAAATATTAAAATATTATTTGTGAAGAAAAAATATTTAAATTCTGTTCTACCCTCCTAATTCACACCAATTTATAATACTTACAACTGGTAAGACGGTTTCAAAAAAAAGGACAGATCAAATAAACTTGATCGATTTACAATTTACCTGATTATAATAGGCGGGCGTCTGACAGATATTTCGAGGGAGATATACCCTCGTTCTCTCTGAATCTGAGGGGTGTGGCATATGGTAGAAAGCTGTTTCTAACATCTGGTACTGTACTTGCTGCTCCTGGAACATTTTTTATTAAATTATATGCACTAAAGTTTGTAATCTACCAAATCTTGTCTTTTTCAAGCTTTAAAATGATAGTTTATTTTTAATTAATAATTTTATCTAATAATATTATTAAATCAGTGGCGCTACAACCTTCTTAGGCCAGTCCTCAGATTCCTGTATCTGTTTCATGATCATCTTTCATTCTAATAGGCAAGTAAGTAGGTGATGAGCCTCCTGTCCTTGACAAACACTGTCGACTTTTTGCGTCTAAAGCAAGCCAAAGGTTCGACGACTCATTGGTCTAGTGGTTAGTACCCCTGACTGCGAAACTATGGGTCCCGGGTTCGATCCCCGGCTGAGACGAACATCGATGTGATGAGCATTTGATGTTGTGCTTAGGTCTTGGGTGTTTAAATATGTATTTATATGTCTATGTATGTATATCCGTTGCCTAGTACCCATAACACAAGCTTTACCAGCTTAGCATGGGACTAGGTCAATTGGTGTGAATTGTCTTTAAAAAAAAAAAAAAAAAAAGTTTCCTCACGATGTTTTCCTTTACCGTTCAAGCGAATGTTAAATGCGCACATAGAAAGAAAGTCCATTGGTGCACATCCGAGGATCGAACCTACGACTTCAGGGATGAAAGTTGCACGCTGAATGTAATGGCCATCATTGAAATATTATAGAGAAGAACAAAAACTTACCGAATTAAGTGGTACAGGCCCTAAGGGCGCGACTCCTAATAAAGGTGGAATATGTGCCTGAGATAATGGTACACCTCGTCTTGTATTTTGCTGTAAAATGTGTAATATAATTAGGAAAATTTACAGACAATAAACATGTTAAGAATTTTAGAAAAAAAAAAAAAACAACCAGTATTTCGGTGGCAGTAAAAATTGTATTTTTCTGAAAGCATATTCTTTTTTAATATAAGAACACATCACTCGAGGTAGGTAATTTGTAATAAATTCGGTTTATTTAAGTATAAGTGGGTATGTAATAGGGGTTCCTGTAAAAGCGGTATATCGCTCGCAATAAATACTGTAAAAACGGTATACCTGTAAACCCGCCCGATGCACGGCTTCCTGCGCCATACTCTTGAGCGTGGTAGTGGCAAGTGGGTCAGGCGGCTGTGCACTAGCGCCGCTACTTACACTCGCCGCACTCAGCGTACTCAGCGCTGGGGTGCTTGGGGTTTCGCTCGCCCGACCGCTGCGGAATTATGCATCACTTTTAAGGAAACAACTTTAATGTTATCTATTAGTTAGTATGTATGCTTTACAATAGTTTACAATAAATATGGAACAACAGAGGAAATAAATACCTATTTAGGGAGCGTTCAAGTATTACGTCACGCAATGTTTGGAGATTATTGACCCCTCCCCCCCATGTAACGCGCCGTAACGTTTTTCTGTACCCAAGTACAGTAAGATTTCCCAAGTATAGTAAAACGTTTCGTGACCACCTAGTGACTCTTTATACTTAAAAGATACCATTATGTGGTGTAAAGTACTGAAAGGCGAAAATAATAATAACAATAACGCGTAATTCAATCCCCACCCCGCATCGTAACGTTGTACAAGAGGACCCTCCCCCAAATTCATTACGTAATACTTGAACGCTCCCTTAATTAAGACAAAAACTAATTCAATTTGTTTTTATAATTTAAAAAAAATTACTTTGATATCTAACCACACCTCTCCCCTCACCAAGATACTCACTTTAAGACTTTAAAAGTATGTGTAACTTAAAACATACTTATTGAGCATATGTTGAGGCGTATGATGGGCGTTGATCGGTCCATTGAGCATGACCGGCGAAGGCGGACTGGGCGTGGCACTATGCGTACTGACGTTGCTGACCGTACTCGTATTCACGCTCACGTTCGGGTTTGGATTCGCGATCGCGCTCGCGAGCGTGGTCGCTGATGAACTTTTCGCCTGAGGAGATACACTTTTATTAACCAAGTATAATAAGATTTCAGTTATTTAAATCATTTCAACAGTAACATAAATTTACAATTGTTTCTTTAGCCGTGTTTAATAGCCGAGTAAAATTGAAATAGTTCTATTGAAATAAATCTCTGAATATCAATAAAAACCATAAATATGTATATAATGGATTTTGAGTTTCCTAGAATTGGGAATCAAGAAAGGAATATTGAATTACATGACAATATAACTAAGATACATAAAAAATTAAAATAAATGCTAAACTGTCAAAATAATGTTTACAATTCTCGAGCAGCATAGCAGACCCGAGGTCTAGACTTACGGGCGCAGTGACGTGCTGGTGGGGCGTGGCTGACACGGGGCCGTTCTCGCACACCTCTGCAACAGACCACACAACTGTCTCTTCCTCTTCAAACAACACTTTTATAGGTTACATACTTATAATACTGGCCAAAGGTTCATTAGTTATTTAAGATTCATTATCAATGAAGTCCTAAATTGGCTAAGTGGGATATATTCGATTCGGAAGTTTTTTTTTTAAATATAAGTAACACATTTAAATATAACATAGTATTTATAATTAAGGTTTTTGATTGATTTATTAACAAGACGTCAAAAGTAAGTGATATTAGGTAATATACTAATAATTATTACATATTATGTGATCATGTATATGTGGACCTTTTGCCAAATTGTATATTTCAACAAATAAACCTTAAAAATAATTATATTCTTGAAACACAGAGCGTGACAAGGTTTTTTTTATTCCGTAATACTTTTATAGTTCAACATCAGTTTTTCTTTTTAATACTGGCCACTAATAAAGCAACAATAAAAAAAATGCGAACTGTCATTGTCAAAAGAATAATAAAAACGACACACTTCTTTGTTTACCTATTCAGATTTTTCATTTGTTTGACCACTGTTCCATAAACTAAGATAACTAAATAAAACTTATGACGTAGAAAGGTTACGATATTCTATGAATGAAAATAAACGCACCATTAAAACTAATTAAGCAAATATTAAATAACCATTTACAATACCAATACACTAATTTCCAAATAAAACATTACCATTGTCCATCATATGTCGTTCGCGCCTAAACCATTTTCATCAATTTATCCGCCGCACGTCACGCGTAGAGCAAAGCGGGAACTGGCCTGTCATCGGGTTTGGACTCGGTCCAATTCAACGCGGGATTCGCAAAATGGCTCGCTGCCAAATTTATCCACGTGCATTCTAACTGCTAGTTTCGTGATAACACGTTTGTTTTGTAAACAGTGGGAAGTTAACTATACATTTTTATCAAATCATCTGTTAAACAGAGCATTCAAAACCGCGAAATATCTAGGCTGTTTTAAAATAATTGTATGAAATTCGGTCATTCATTTTCGTTTCAATTAGAAGAAAATAATTAGATCTGTCATTATTAATTTTAAATATGGCAACGAAGCACTAATACGTTTTAAATACATTTTGGCAGCTAACATTAAATACGTCACCGCGTTTCTATATTATTATTTTCATTATTAAATCTGACTATTCGTTATTTTAAAACGTTAATAGTATTGTCTTTTAGTGACATAACCTTTACACATTTAAAGAAAAAACTTTTCAACCGGATTAAAGTTATTTATTATTATAAATTTACAATTATTCAATATAATTTTATATTTATCCGACGTTTTGCGTGCTTTACAGCGTGGGTGGTCACGTTGACACGTAATTGTAAATTTATAATAATACATAACTTTAATCCGGTTAAAAAGTTTTTTCTTTAAAACGTTAATTTATACGTTTCGAAAAATTATAAAATGTAAATCATAAATTAATTGCGCGTTTAACGTGGGCATTGTAAACGCTATATTTGAATAACATTAAAATCGACGCCTTTAACCAATTACAAAAAAAAAGATTTGGTTTTAAAACCTATAAAGTCTCACCAGTATTATTAGGCCGCTGATGAGGCGAACTGGGCGGAGGCTGCTTGATGGGCGTCGACGTCCCAGACACGCCCGTACTGTTTACACTGCCAACATTACAAATCATTAAAAAATATACTTTATACAATTATCTGACTCGACTTAAAATTCCTATGCAGGGGGCATAGGGCATCCAGCGTAGAAAACCAGTCTGATCGATCCTGGGAAACAATCATTATCTGCTTTTTGCTATTTTATTTATATCAAAATTATTATTGTTTGTTATGGTGTAATTTAAAAAGGTTGTTTAAAAACTGTACGACGTATAGATGGTGTCGTGAAGTGCCTCTGCGCAAACTCATTTCAATTTTTTTTTAAATAAAGTTTATTTTGTAGTCTATGAGTTATGTCCTGTGGTGTAGTGGTTCTATGTAGAAATACTGTTTCCCAAGACTGTATCGGTGACAGTTGAGGTGTGATTGCAGCCTGTTTTGGTAGAAAGAATCTATAGAAGCATCATGGTGTAATAATAATAATATTCCGTCTACTTATTTATATAAATTAGTTCTTGACACATACTAAATCAAGTATTTTGGGTTTAACTTGATACTACAATTCTTTTTTTATGGTCGGGAGAGCCTTTATACCCACTTAAACTCAACCGCTACTCAACCGCTACTTCTGACATGGACGGTACAACGAGTTTCAAGTTAGTGATGTTAATGGTAATCTGGTATGGGTATGCCGATGATGGTGGTGGAAATGGTGTTGTGGTGTAATGACTGACCTATTGTTGGTAGCGGAGTGATTCAGCGCGCTCAGGTTGGGGCTAGCGGCCGCACCACACGATAAGGCGCGGAGCGGCAGCGGCTTTACCGGCTGAAACACGCCACCGTTCTATTAGTTTTAGGTTCTCTTACACAAAAAAGATTCAATTCAATTAATTCAAATATTGAATGTGTTATATATGTCAACGTAAAATTGTAAATACCGTTAGATTGTAATCTATCTCGCGAGATTGTGAACTGTCGAAAGATGTGAACCTCAACGTACTGCTTACAATTTAACGTATTATTATTTGGTAGATTGTAATCTATCGAAGTGAAACCGTCAAATTGTGAAACGGAACGCATCTCGTGCGCTGATTGGTTGAACGGAATATGCCCCGCGCCACCATAATTGTTTGTTAATTCGTTTGATGTCGAATGTAGACAAACAGTGTTATGGTGAATGTAAATTGATGTCGTATTGAAAGTAACTCACAAAAATAGTTATATGAAATTGTTGTGGATCGTTTTTTTCTAAAAGAAAATTTCATTACTTTTTCATTTTTAATTTGTGTTTGAAGAGAAAATATGTTACGTTTTTCATTTTTTTATTTTGATACAATTTCTTTTTACCATGTGATGTCAGAATTATTGATGACCTACTAAGTAATGAATAAATACTTGATGTCACAATTCTTGAAGTGCATTCATTTTATTTGACTGATACCCGTGTTTCATTCCTAACACTATGGACACAGAACGGTCTACTACAAGGCCGACCAATCAGGGACAGCCTTCAGACAGTTGACAATTTTAAAATTGTAATTTGACGGTTTCACTTCGATAGATTACAATCTACCGAATAATAGGACGTTAAATTGCAAGCAGTACGTTGTGGTTCACAATCTCGCGAGATAGATTACAATCTAACGGTATTTACAATTTTACAGTGACCAGACATATACATACGTTAAGGTGAAAAATGTTAGTTTTAGGTTCTAATATATACCTATTCCTTATGTAATATTAATTTTATATATTAAAGGGGGTTACACTAGGCTTTCAAGGCCGAAGAACCTAAAACTAATTGCAAAAATCAATACTCCACATTTTTATGGTATTAATGATGTGAATGTAGTGTTGTGTCTCATTATCGATACATACTTTAATTGACTCCTCCTTCTTCTTTTTATCGATATCGACAGATTCCGACGTGTGGTTGTGTAGCTCTGCAGGGGACGTCAACGGGCTCGTTCCTGTAATTAGTAAAATTACATTTTTAATAAAAATAAAAAATAAATTGTTTTAAAATAAGTGTTGTTTGATGATTTGCTATTTTAAAAGAGTACCGAGAGTTTTTACACCGTCTTTTTCTCTCGGCCTACACCCTCTGTCTTTGCCGATGAGTAGGGATGCCTACATATTCAAATTTAATGACGTGGAATAAGTGATACCTGTATATTACATTTTTACGATGCGCGCGCACGTCACAAAAACCCTACACCCTGAAGTTAGCTCTAGTCAACATGTATATTACATTTTTACGATGCGCGCGCACGTAACAAAAACCCTACACCCTGAAGTTAGCTCTAGTCAACATTTTATTTTGTGATATTTAAATAAACTTTATTTAACTAGATAATGCGTTATAATAAAACTTTCAACGTATTAAATACATTTTTTCTGGAATTTTTTAAAGAATCAATTTTTTGAAAAGATATTTATCTTGTGTACATACGAGGGGAGGTCCAAAAGTTCGTGGAATGGAGGGGATGGAGTGGGGATAGGGGCGCTCGCTTAGTGTCATACTAATTGGGGACTCATAATTAGTATATAAATGGAGTTTCAGCCTTATTGCGTCATTCGTTTACGAACACTCGCCTGCTAAACACGTCAATCCGGAAGAAAACTGAAACTATGGAGAAAATTGAACACCGTGCTGTCATTAAATTCCTTACCAAGCAAGGAAAGAACGCTGAGACCATTTTGAATGAAATGGAAACTGTTTACGGGGAACAGTGCCCTAGTAAATCAATGATTTACAAATGGCATGGTCTTTTTAAACATGGTCGGGAGTCGATTGAAGACGACCCCCGCTCAGGAAGGCCAGTTGAGGCCACCACATCAGACATCGTCGAAAAAGTGGAAAAAATTGTACTGGAGGACACCCGTTTGAAGAAAAAACAGTTATCTGCATTAGTTGGAGTATCAGATACCACAATTTTGCGAATCCTACATGACCACCTGGGTATGACAAAAGTCAGTGCAAGATGGGTACCGAGAATGCTCACGCCGCTTCAAAAACAGCAGCGCGTCAAAACATTTTTTGGAGTTGTGTAGCGACGATCCTGGATCGATTTTGGAGCGAATTGTTACCGGCGATGAAACATGGGTTCATCACTTCGAGCCTGAGTCCAAACAAGAGTCCATGCAATGGCATAAAAGGGGACACCACCGCCAAAGAAATTCAAAGTGTCGGAGTCGGCTGGAAAGTTGATGGCTACTGTTTTTTGGGATTGTGAGGGGATAATACTGATTGATTATAAAGAAAAGGGCAGGACCATAACCGGAGAATACTACGCAACAATACTAGAAAAATTAAAGGATGCAATCAAAGAAAAACGTCGGGGAAAATTGACCAAGGGTGTGTTGCTCTTGCAAGACAACGCGCCGGTTCACAAGAGCAAAGTTGCAATGGCTGCTCTACACACGCATGGCTTCGAATCACTAGTCCACCCACCCTATAGTCCAGATCTGGCCCCAAGTGATTTTTATTTGTTCCCCAATTTAAAAAAAAGACTTAAGGGGAAGGAAATTTTCCGACGACAATGAGGTAAAGGAGGCAATTTTGGCTCATTTTGAGGGAAAAGATAAAAAATATTTTTACGATGGTTTAGAAAAATTAATTCATAGATCTAATAAATGTATTCAGCTTAAGGGTGATTATATTGAAAAGGAAAAATAAATTTACTGTTTCATTTTTACTAAAACCCTTTCATTCCACGAACTTTTGGACCTCCCCTCGTAAGTACACACACATTTTTTTAAAATATTAATTTTACCTGAAAGCATGCTGGTAGGAGATCTAGGTGAGTCATTGCTATTGTTGCTATCCGTGGTCGCGCTGGACGGCACTCCGACCCCGCTTAGCTCAATTTCGTCTAAGCCGCGGATATCTTCGTAGATGTACTCGTTCTCCTCATAACCTGGGTCCTGAGATGACGATATATAATATTCCACGTCTTCCTTAATACCCTTTATCTGTAATGGGATCGATTTCTTTCCTTTACGTAAATCTAGCTATCTATAAAGCGATTAGTAGTAACTTAACCTAAACTTAATATTATATATTAATATAAAATGTATTCTTTGAGAAGTTATTTTTTATAAATATTGAAAGACTAGGGGCACACATCATTCGTCACAACTTCAAACTTCAATATATTTTTATTTGGAAAAGTGATTTAATCTGTAAACACAAGTATAACAAAGAATTTTTTAAGTGGGGCAATAAAAAAATCTTCTTTAATCTTCTTCTCCTCACTTCGTTCTTTTACAAAACCAATACATGATGTGCACCTAGAATGAATTTTAATATTACACCATTAAGCGTTTACAACTCGGGGACAGCTTGAAGAACAAAGTCAATATTTTCCATGACAGCGTTACACCAGATGGTGATTAGAAGTTTCCTGTAAATTAAGCCTAAAATATTAAAAACAATATAGAAAACAGTGAAAATATCACTAAATATTATCTGGCCTAATTTTCCTTCCTAAGTGAAAAATCTCTATCTCTAAAGTAGTATATAGCAAAACTCACTTGATCAACTTCCACAGACATGTTATCCAGCATCCGCAGCAGCATCTCCAGCTTCTTAATGTGATACCTGTGCCGTTCCAGTTTCGATTTGAGGTCATCCATTCGATCCTGTTTCTCCTTGTCCAGTCGTTTCTTCTTTCCCACTACGAGCGACTCCACTTCAGATTCAAAGAGATCAATCTGTAAAACACATTCAATATTTATTACGGTATTATTTTTTTTGGATAAGGGAGCGTTCAAGTGTTACGTCACGCAATGTTTGGAGATTATTGACAAACACCCCAGGGGGAGGGGGGCTCCCCCATGTAACGCACCTTAACGTTTTTCTGTAACGTGTTTCTGTGACCACCTAGTGACTCTTTATTCTTAAAAGTTGCCTGCCCCGCAACGTAAAGTTTTACAAAAGGCAAAAAAATCGTTACGTTATACTTGAACGCTCCCTAATGGGGCAAAGGCTGATAATAGTAAAAACCAGCTTCTATGCCTAACGGACATGTATTCGTATCTAAGAGTTTCGAAAGTGGTATATTCGTGCTTTGGTAAACCTTCAGGTTAAGGCCATCAAAGGCCCTTGTAGACCTGTTTTTGGGCCTTTATAGGAGACGATCCCAGTGCGCAGCAAAAAATTCACTAAAACGAAAAACGATTAAACAGCTGACGAGAATTGATTGACGATTGATTAAAATAGAAGGATAGTTTCAAAAAGGTATTGTGACCTTTTCTCTGAAATATTCAGGCCTGGAGTGATTCTGATGTTGGCTACTTGTGCACTGCAGTATTAAAACCGTTAGTACCGCGGAATTATTTTCAAGAAATGAGAACAAAATTTACTCTTTAAAATAGAATATTGCTACATAAATTTTTTGAGGGTTCATTTTTTCATCTAAACTACGATATTAAACGCCGATCGCTATGTTAACACCTGTACCTTGATGTTGTTTAAAACTTTAATGGATAATGGTTTTAAAGAAACAAAAGTTACTTTTAACTTGTAGTTTGATGAAATATAATAGTCCGGGTGAGTGACCCAACTCAGCTCTGTACGAGGGGATAAAAAGATAACAATTCCTTAAACATAAATTTACAAGTCGTAAAAGAAAGCACAGTGCATTTTTTGTTTCAAAGTTTTCGTTCTGGAAATTTCGACCTGCAGAACGAGCCCCGTGGACGGCCGGAGACCAAAGTTGGTAACGAAGAATTGAAGGCTATTGTAGAAGCGGATCCATTGTAAACTACACCTGAGTTAGCTGCAGCCTGCTGTATTAAGGCACTTGAAGCAAATCGACAAAGGCGAGTAGAATGCTGCAGTACATTACTCAACCAGCACAATAATGAAGAGATTTTAAACCTGTGATAAAAAGTGAATGCTGTACGATAATCGGAAGCGGTCATCGCAATGGTTAAACCCAGCCGAACCAAATCGCTCCCCAAGCGAAAATTTACTCCGAAAAAGTAAGTAACTTTTTCGGAGTAAGCGTTTGGTGGACTAGTGCCGGGGTCGTTCACTATAACTTTTTTAAATCTGGCCAGATGTCTATTGTCAGCAACTGCAAACCACGATAGAAAAGCTAGCTGCCAAACAACCAAGGCTGGTCAATCGCTCTAGGACACAGACTGCACAACAGACTGCTACCAATTTAGAGGAGCTTCAATTGGAAAATCTAAGACGTCCACCGCACTCCCCAGACCCTGCTCCAACAGATTACCATTTTTATCGAAATTTGGGTAACTCTGATGGGGCAGTCGAAACCGCCTTCAAAGATTTTTGATTCCCGTCCGAATGTTTTTTTTAGTAAAGGGATCAATTAACTACCTATAAGATTGCAAAAGTGCATAGATAGCAATGGTATTTTCAAGAATACCACGGAGAGTTTTTTACGCCGCTTTTTCTATCGGCCTACACCTGTCTTCTTTGCCGATGAGTAGGGATGTCTTTCGATACAAATTTAATGACGTGGAATAAGTGATACCTGTATCTTATGTTATTTTTGGACACATTTACATATTTTATTAAATATATTCTATGTATTTAAAAAAATCTACACTTTGTTCCTCCCATATAAAACACCAATTTCGTATGTAAGGCCTGCCTAATATTAATAAATGGATATACTTACTTGTAAATTAAGCGCATCAATAGATGACACAAGCCACGTCGACATTTCCTCTCGTTCCTTCTGAGCTGGGTCGAGTTTCTGAGCTGCACCAAGACCTTCTTTTGAATACGCCTTTGTCTTTGTTTCTCTTTCGACCACTTTAAACCTTTCCATTTGCTGAAATGAAACAGATAGTTTAAAAAAAATTAAAATTCAAATTAATGCCATCTGTCAATATGCAAATACATAATAAATATTGTTTCTGCTACTGTTACATTGAGATTTCTTATAATAGAAATAATCAGCATTCTCTTCCACATTAAAGGTTTTTAAACAATAAGAAAATATCTGTATAAGCAGAACAGATGGTACAAAAATATTCTTTTAACAACAAGTCTTTTACATATTTCAATATGATTTGGAAACATGTCAATAGCCAGATAATATCATATCCAATGAATTTGAAAACATCTGTATATAGGTCAAATGCTAATATTGGTAAGTAGCAATATTTCAATACATCTCTACATGAAACAGCGGGCTCATAACCATTATGGTCCTTAATCATCCACTATCATGTGAGTCTTCTGCATTCTTTTTATGTGACTACACAATAAGATACAGATACACATTGTTGTTATAAAATCCAGTTACTTGCTTTGAATAGTTATCATCTTATATATAAAAGTATCGTGTCACAATGTTAGTTACCATACTTCTCCGAAACGGCTTGACCAATTTTTATCATATTTTATATGCATATTCAGTAGGTCTGAGAATCGGCTACTATCTATCTTTCAACCCCCTAAGTTTTTTATGATACAGCATACAAAAATACATATAATCCCTAATGTTCACTCCTCTACGATCAACCCCTATTTTTTATTAATAAAAAATGTGCAAAATAATATATGTACATGGCAAAACAACTTTTGCCGCGTCAGCTAGTATTTTATATTACAAATGCTAAAATTAGATTATTTTTTGTACAGCAATATATCTGAAGAGATTTGGAGAAGTGTTACAACTTCCAAGAAACATTTTGTTTGTTGCTAGGGTAGTAGGACTCCTTTCTCCGCAATTAGACTCGTAAATGGTCCGTTGTGCGTACAAATGGTTTGTTTGTTGCTATATAGATAATCTTTATTTAATGCAAATTTTAATAACAAATTTGTTATCAACATATAATATAATTATATTAAATCAAAGCCCAATTATGTCATTGTTAACAAAACCATATTAGGCCCATTCAAACTTTTCAAATTAAAAAGTAAACATTAATTATGAAAAACACCTTTTCATAATGACGACGAAACGTGTTTACAGGCATTTACAAACATCGCCACGTGATTTACGATTTTCGTAACTAATGTTAAATTTAGTTGGAAGCTGCAAAAAATGACTAAAATAAGGTATTAAACTTAGTAATATTGAAATCAATGTACAATCATTATTAATTTTGTTTAAAGCACCAAATAGAAGGTGGCTACTGTCTTGTTTTTTTGTCTACCTACATTACTTAAACAAAATAAATATATTATTATTTTTAAAAGCAATTCTTTCTATATACGCTTCTTTGTAAAGAAAAAGTATTATGTTGCTGTGTTTGTTGATGTCTGTGTAAAAATTGTAAGGTCTGTCTTTTTTTCTCTACAGCAGGTGCATTGATACAAGCACCACAATAATTTTTTGCAGGTGCTTTATTAACCTTTATTAAATGAATTTAATAAATATAAAAATGTTATATGATAATTTACTATCTTTTGTTTATAGGTATATTAAAATACAATTAAAATCCTAGATATAATCTTTCTGTAAATTACCATTAACAATGGAAGCAATTAATAATTACTAAGTAATGGCATATATTGTGTGATGTAGTGAGTAGGTATCCTGCATTTGTTAAATTATTTTCCTTCACACAGAATTCAAAATTATATATATATAGGTACTTGGCAAGATCTCGCAAGGGAATATGCTTACCTCATTTACTTTGTGAACTACTAAATAGAATATTGTAAAGTTTTACATGATAGATCATATAGACACAATATTGTTTTAAATAAATAATACTGAAAAATAAATTATTGTGTAAGTGGTGTGTAATCTTTGGCCTCAAAATATTAAAAAAAAATAAGTTTTAGATTTCTAAGTATGTATGTACTTCATCAAAAACTTACATAGTATTAATATTAAAAAATGTTATTTCCAAATATTTAGCTTAGTTGAAATCAATCAAAAGCGTCTATGAGAAAAAACAGAACTACAGTAAGAATATTAAAATGTCAGCAGGACATTGCAAGTTCAACAACTATCAGTATAAGCTTTTTTATTGTTATGACTTAAGAGGTATAATTACATTATCCTATTAGATAAATGTGTCATAAACATCACTATAATTTTTACCATATAGTACAATCAGTTAAACAAATTATATGTTAACCACTTACTGTTTCTATAAGTTTCCTATTTTCTAAAAGAGTACTCTTATCCTTAATTTCTCCTGATGCAATCCATGATTTAATCTGATCTCGTAGCCTTTGGAGTTTTTTTAATTTCTTTCTTGAGATCCGCCTCATATTTTTCTTTTTGATTACTGTTCGTTGCATTATGTACTTTTTTCCAAATATCTTCAAATGTTTCGACCCCTTCTGTTACCTTTTTTAAACACCTGTCTATTTCACCTGAAAACAACATTATCTCGTAACAAAATAATAAAACCGAATAGAATTGTAACTTTCTAACGGTACGTGAGGATTTTGAATTCAAGTATTTGATGATTTAAGCATTCTTCAACCATAAATTACTCTGTTTATCACGTTATTGTAAATATATGAAAGAAATCTACATCTTCAGGCACGTATTTGTAATCAAGTATAAGTCAAAAAGTGCCCTGAATTATGGTTTCACTGTGACTTCGGTACACTGTTAAATTTCTAAGAAACATTGAAACTCCATCGAACGGACAATAGAAGTCTAGAACACGTATCTACATAGGTTGGGGTCAATCTCTAACCTGATAACATAACCATTTACCTTGCAGTTTCCTTGTCGCAGCCATAGCTATTTACACATGTGGACAAATGTTCCGTACATATCCTAAGCATACAAACTATTTACAGGGAAATGGACTAAAATTATTGATAAACAGACGAACTACACATCTGAAGCTTTGTTCGAAACCAAGATGGCTACCGTACACCGCTTGAAGTATCAATGACTGAACGCATCCAAGCAGATTATAACAGAAAGATTCCGTTTCGTGCCTGAAAATATATTCAATACGCAATTTTCATAAATAATTGTAAAGATATAATGTTGTCACCAAAACAACAACTTCGAATTTTCTAAAATGTGATTTCTATTTTATCGTCACGTAAACCATAAATTATGAGCGCAGCCCGCAGGCGCAAAATATTACCTATTAAATAAATAATAGAGCAATGAGAAAGCATAGATAAAATAAATACGTTAACAAATCTGTGGTATATACAGATATAAAGTGCGTTTTCCAATTACAGCACTAGAGCGTATTTTGCGGCATAATGCTCAACGTCGAGTGTTCCAACTACAGCAACGCTTCGCACAATTGAGCACTCTCAAAACGAATGCTCTCGCGAGCTTCTCGCAAACAATACCAACACAGTGACAGAAAATTGACCAGTATTTTTCTTTAAGTTGGCATTTATCGAAATTTTCGTTAGTAAATATTATTTATTGTTGAAAAATTTGTAAGGCTTTCGTTTCGACGTAGATTTTGAAAATAATTAAAGTTATTTCAAACTGCTAAAAAAAAAAAATTAGTATGGATGATAAATAGTTACTTTTTTTATATTCCACAATTAAAATATGAATACAATTTTATTTTAAAATTCGGATCTGTAAACAAATTTATTTTACAGGATTATACTTTAGAAAAAATTGCATTGGTTTTGAAAAGTATTTAATTTTTTTAGAAATCATTAAAAAATATTACTTAAAACGTAAATGATGTAAACTTCTTACATGAAACTAAATATTTTACTGTTAATTTAGCTTGTTAAAACCTTATATTCTTCTAAAGGTTTTCTATTATTTCAATAAAAAAAATGTTAATGAAATAATTTGATGATTAAAATAAGCGTAAAAAGTTTTCAACCAATTATTATTGTTTACCACATTATTTATACATTAATGAGGTTGCTAACTCAATTCATAACATTTTTTTTACAACACGACAGCGCACTCTGATGATGCATTTGAAAACTAATTCACGTTCCAATTAAGCTTCAGAATTATGCGGCATTGTGCGGCACTGAGTCGCAAAATGCTCTGTAATTGGAAAACGCACAAAGGTTGCATTTGCGGCTATATTTCTAGAGCGCGGCCACACGATGCGGTAACGGTGCGGTGCGGCGCCGCACCGCAATTACTTCGAGCTATAGGGTGCGGGCCGTGCCACACGGGCGTTGCGGTGTGGCAATATATTTTATTCCTCCCGCGGCCCGCCTCGTCTCGCAGGTCACAACTCCGGTCGCGCTTGCGGTGCGCACCGTTACCGCATCGTGTGGCCGCGCTCTAACCTTGCTGCCAACTTCCGATTACGAAAGTGTGCTGCAGGATAAAAGAAATACTAATTTTAGTTATTAACCACGAATCGAAACCCGAACCGATAGCCAACATCCTAATTAACTGTCTAGCACTTAAAGTATTCGGTGATATGTTCAATACATAGTTATAAGTTGATACAGTCTCATTTTAAAGAAAAGAAGGAAATTGACATGCATAAGGAATAGTTCTACCGGAATCATGTCAAATAGGG